CCAGGATTCAAAAATGCGGAGAAGCTGTGGAGTAGGTTTTAAGTAGGAGTGCCATGGATCCTCATAAAAGGAAGGTTTGACTAGCTTGTGAACAGGGGCTGGGCGAGAGGGCACAGGTGGAAGCAAGGAGTGCAGGTGGGCACACTCGGGGGCAATGGGGCTGGTGAAGGTGGCCGTGGAGTCTTTTTGCCCCGTTTTCTGTTTTAGTACTTTTCTCAGGGTTTCTGTCCCCTCCCTAGGTCTTTGCCCCCCCCCAGTCTCTTTACCTGCCCCCTCCTTCCTCTGGGTCTCTGAACCCAATTTCCCACCTCCTTTTCTCTTACTGAGCCTTTGTCCCCTTTCTTGGACTCTCTGCCACTTTGGGGTCTCAGCCTTCCGTCTGCATCTCTCTTCGGCGTCTCTGTTCCCTTCTCTCAGGAGAGCTGGTCTTATCTCTTAGGGTTCTGTCTCTCCTTTCACGTGTCTGTCCTCCAGGTCTGTTAATCTCCTCTTCACTCTTTGGCATCAGTGGCTGGACGTGTCTCCATCAGGCAGCCGCTCTCCAAATGCCCTGTGTCTCAGAGTTCATCTTCCCTATCTGCCCCATCAGAGGGCAGGGCTGTCCCCCTGTTCACGGATGTCTTGCCCACACTCCATTTCCCGGTCCTCCCCTCTCTTAGCTCGGTGTCTGGACTGAAGCAGACGCTGTTGGCTGAGTCAGAGGCCCTGACCCGCTACAGCCACCGCGTGTTCTCCGCCTGGGACTTTGGACTCAGCGGGGAGGTCCACGTGCGACTCCGCCAGCGCCTGATCCTATATGAGTTGCAGGTGCGCTTAGCGGCAGGGCCGGGTGAGCTGGGGGCACCCGAGGGGGCGGGGTTGAGAGAATGGGCGGGGCCTGGGCCAGGGACGGGGCCTCCAGAGAGACGCTGGGCGGAGCTTTCTTCTTAGGAGGCGGGCCTTGAGGGAAAAGGGCTGAAGGCCACTACAGGGATGCCCGAGGTCAAGGGTACAAGGAAAAGCTAGCTCAGTTCGCAGTTAAGAGCAGGGCGTGTCCAGAAAAGGCTGGGTGGAGTAGAACCGAAACGCCCACGACCAGGCAGGAGTGCTGGGCGGGGCCTAGGAGGAGCTTGATATGTTGGGCGGGGCCTTAAAAGGACGGAGTCAGTTCTAAATTGTCAATCTGGAGGGTCTTGGGTGGGCTGGGACGGGACTATAGATGTTCTTAGAGAGCCGATGCAGCATCAGTTCCCGTTGAGCGTGGACCGCAGGCTGGACCTGGGGCACTGGAACACAAGTGGACGTTTCTTCCGGCCTTAGGTGGAGCTGGAGGAAGCCAGAGTGCGGCGCAAGGCTGCGGTGCGGACCCTGGGCCAACAAGCCAGGCTGTGGTCGGTGCGCCTGCTGCTCAACCTGGTGGTGCTGGCGCTCCTAGGGGCAGCCTTCTACGGCATCTACTGGGCTACCAGGGCCACTGTGAAGCTGCAGGTGTGGAGGGCCCTGGGGGAGGAAAGGCCCTGGAACCCACCTTTCCAAGGGTGGAGGAGACTGAAGCCTGTGATTCTTGGAATCTCAGAGAGGAAGGATTGGGGTCTGTGTGTGTGTGTGGTGGTGGTGGTTATGATTGGACCGTGGACTTTCAGGGTTTTGAAGGAAGAAGAGGCCAGGGGAGGATAATCGTAAGCATGGCCCCTGCAGGACCCCAGAGCCTCTTCTCTTGGTCCACCCTCCCTCCTAGGACGAGCCTCTTGTCCAGCGGACGCCAGTGCTGAAGCTCATAGTGGATTACCTTCCGTCCATCTTCATCTCCGGGGTCAACTTCGTGCTGCCACCTGTGTTCAAGCTCATTGCCCCCCTGGAGGGCCACACCAGGAGTCGCCAGATCGTCTTTATCCTACTCAGGTTCTGGACTCCTGGTGTGGGCTGGGTCTGGCTGACGGACATTGATCCTACCAAATAAGAGACTGACATTGTCAGGATTCAGGATCCGGTGGGATCTGGATTCAGATCCCGACTCCTCCTGTCACTGAGCCTCAGTTTTCTTCGGTGAAGCGGGGAGGACTGTGAGCACGCTCCACACAGGAGAATCCGGGCACGTGGTGGGCAGTCAGTGCTGATGCCCTTTTTCTCTCTTCCCCTTGCCAGGACAGTGTCTCTCCGCCTGGTCTCCCTGCTGGTCCTGCTCATCTCTCTCTGGAGTCAGATCACTTGCGGGGGCAATGCGGAAGAGGAGAGGTGCAAAACCTGTGGCTACAATTACAAGGAACTTGCGGTGAGGATGCGGCGGCGGGACGGGGGACTCCTGGGTCCTTGAAGGAAAGGAAGAGCTCGGTGGGCTCCAGATTCTTGGTTTGGGAGGAAAGAGGAGCTTGCGGTGCTAGAACACCTTCCCCATGAGGACAGGGGTATGGACTTTTAAAAAGAAGAAGGAACTCCCAGATAAAGTGTTGATAGAAGCTCATACTCTTGCAATTTGGAGACTTAGCTGTTTGGGTCGACAGGGTCCTGAGGTCTTTCCGACCTGCTCTTCCTCCCTCAGTGCTGGGAGACCCGCCTGGGGCAGGAGATGTACAAACTCCTGCTGTTTGACCTGCTGACCAGCCTAGCAGTCATCCTGCTCATCCAGTTTCCTCGGAGGTGAGAGTCCCGCCCCTTGCCGTGGCCCCGCCCAGCACCCGTATTCTCGTTCCCCGCCCTTTCTAGCCCCGCCCCTGCCCTAGGCCCGCAGACCACGCCCCCTCCACAGGTCCCTACAGCCACGGTTATACCTCTACTCAAGCCCCGCCCCCTAGGCGCACACCCTCCCCCCCCACCCCACCCCCCACCCCGCCGCCGGGCTGGGGAAGTTTCGCCCCGCCTCCAGATATGCTCACTTCCCATTGGTGGGCGGGACGGTGAAGGCGGGGAAACCCGCCCACCTCTGATTCCGTGGGTCTCACCCTGCCCCTCAGGCTGCTCTGCGGCCTCTGTCCCGGGGCGCTGGGCCGCTTTGCGAGGACCCAGGAGTTCCAGGTGCCTGACGAAGTGCTGGGGCTCATCTACGCACAGACAGTGGTCTGGGTGGGGAGTTTTTTCTGCCCTTTACTGCCTTTGCTCAACACGGTGAAGTTCCTGTTGCTTTTCTACTTGAAGAAGGTGAGCGGTGGAGAGCAGCCTTGGGTCTGAGGCGAGGTACTGGGGCTTGGATTTCTGGATTCTGGGAGAGGAGAATACTTAAGGATGTGACTGCTGGGTCCTGGTGGGGGAGGATGCCAAGGTCCCTGACTACGAGATCCTCATAGAGGACGGGTCTGGAGGACAGACCCCTGGATGTGGGAGGAGGGGTCCAGGGCACCCCAACTGTTAGGTCTGAGGGAAGTGGGGGACCTGGACTCTTGTGTCTGATGGTGGAAAAGAAGTGGGGTTCCTGGCTCCTGATTGAGGAGAGGGGGCCAGGGATTAGGGCTCCTGGATGGTGGAGGAGAGTCTGGGGCTCAGATTCCTGTGTCTCATATTCCCTTCATCCCCTCCTGCCAGATCACCCTCTTCTCCACCTGCTCCCCGGCCTCCCGCACCTTTCGAGCCTCCACTGTGAATTTCTTTTTCCCTTTGGTCCTTCTCCTGGGTCTGGCCATCTCCGCCGTTCCTGTGCTTTATAGTATCTTCCTGTAAGTGTGAGAGGTACCGGCCTCTCTCTCCCACCCTTCACCCTCCTCTGTCCAGGGTTCTGACTTTGGGCCATCCTTGAGCTCTGCCTGTCTCTGACTCCAGGATCCCACCTTCCAAGCTGTGTGGTCCATTCCGGGGTCAGTCGTCCATCTGGGTGGCGATCCCCGAGTCTATCTGCGAGCTGCCTCAGACGGCCCAGAATTTTCTCTTCTTCCTGGGTACCCAGGCTTTTGCTGTACCCCTTCTGCTGATCTCCAGGTGAGGGCGCTAGACTCCTGGGTCTGAGTCTGAATGTCTGATCTGGGGTCCCACCGCCTGTTTCCGAGAGAGAAGTGGGCTGGGGGCCCAAACTCTTGGGTCTGAGGGAAGGAGGGGGCTGGGATGCTTCGACTCCTTGAGTCTGAAGGAGGAGGTCCAGGCCCCTGGTTTCTAAAAAGCCCTTACGTGGAAGATACTCTGAGAACGTTTGGGGAGTGGCTTCCATTTTATCTCCTCTAGCATCCTGATGGCGTATACCGTGGCCCTGGCTAACTCATATGGACGCCTCATCTCTGAACTCAAACGCCAGATACAGACGGTGAGCCAGGCCTGGCCCCTGGGAGAGGGTCCTGGAGAGGACGAAAAGGAACACAGGGGAGAGACTTGTCTCACCTCCCCTTCTCTTTACCCTTCCCTTCAGGAGGCTCAGAATAAAGTCTTCCTGGCGCAGCGTGCTGTGGCGTTGAGCTCGGTCAACAGAGCTCTTTGACCTCTCCAGCTTGGCTTGGGGTGACGTCCCACTTCCAGCCCCAGACCTGCCCCCAGATCCTTTTTTAGCTTCGTCCACATCATTTGGAGAATGAGCGAACTGGAGAAGACCCCGTGCTTTTCCAGCCCTGGGATTCCCTGCTGAGTCCCCCGACCCTCCGCTGAACCTCTTTAAATCTAGTACTGTGTCAATAAATCTAGTACTGTATCAATAAGTCTAGTACTGTATCAATAAGCACAGCGGAGGCCGCTAAGTGCTTTTTGAATCTCGGGTCCAGAAGCTAGGGGCAAGCCTTCCGCGGGACATAAACCAATCAAATGTGTGGGTCTGAGAGCGTGGACGACTCTTCCGCGAGAGAACCCGCGCCAGCCAATCAGCGGCTGCGTTCAGGAGCGTCAGGGCGGGGACATATGATCGAGTCAGAGTCGTGAGAAGCGGCGGTCGCTAGGCGACGGAGGACGTGCGCCCTGCAGCCAGACACCTCTCGCTACAGCCCTCGGGGGGCGTGTCAGGCAGCGCAGAGCCAATCCGTGGCCGAGGAAGCAGCAACAGGGCGGGGCCTTCCCTTTGCCAATTGGAAGTGGCAGGAGGTGGGCCTGTTTGGTCCGCGGACGGCTGAGGCGCCATGAATATTTTACCCAAGAAGAGCTGGCACGTCCGGAACAAGGACAATGTCGCCCGCGTGCGGCGTGACGAGGCCCGAGCCCGGGAGGAGGAGAAAGAGCGTGAGCGGAGGGCGCTGCTCGCTCAGCAGGAGGTGAGCCCCGGGCCCGAGCGGACGCGGCGCCGCGGCTCAGCGCGCAGGCGCCCCGGGAGGCACCGGGAGCGGGGCAGTGCCAGACGCAGGGCGGCGCGCAGGCGCGGGGCACCCCGGGCGGACCTCGGGCCGGGCTCCCGGGAGGTGCCTGCGGACCGTGCCGTCGCCCGCCTCGACCTCTCCTTGGTCCTCTTCGAGGGCCGGAGTAGAGGCTCGTGAATAATCGGAGCCCTGGGCAGCTCACGGAAATTCGGGCCACTTGTTAGTTTACCTGTACAAACACCCAGTGTAGTGAGCTCCTGCTGTCTCCTGGTAGCTCAGACAGTAAAGAGTCTGCCAGGAGTGCGGGAGATCCGGGTTCGACCTCTGGGGTCGGGAAGATCCCCTGGAGGAGGAAATGGCGACCCGCTCCAGTATTCTTGCCTGGAGAATCCCCTAGATGAAGGAGCCTGGTGGGCTACATACCATGGGGTCGCAAGGAGTCGGACACGACTGAGCGACTTCACTTTAGCTTTTCATTGTTGTTTACCCCGTGCAAAGCGCTTGATTTGCAAAGTTTCTCGAGCCCTGTTCGTTCTTAGCCGGGCAGTTCTCTCCCTTCGGCAGAGAAGTGAGGTGGCTTCAGAGGAGACACAGCGAAGCGACAGTGGTATTAGTCCAGCTGCGCCGGGCGCGCCTTTTGCCTGCACCGCTGCACGCAGACACTAGAAGCTCTCGTTGTAACTTCTCACCTGTTTGGTTTACACCTAGCTTCCAGTCCTTTGACTAATCCGATAGCCAGCACTGGCTGGGAGGTAGTCAGGGATTTTAAAGTTCACATCTATGGACTTCCCTAGTGGTCCAGTGGCTTCCAATGCAGGGGGCCCAGGTTCAGTCCCTGGTTAGGGAAATAGATCTCACATGCTATAACTAAGATCTGGTGCAGCCAAAGTAGTATTTTTCAAGTTCACGGTTATCAGTAGAAATTGGAAATCAAATGGGCATAGTGACTTGGCGCCCTGCCTGTCCTAATAGATGTTTTGGCTGCCTTTATGGCTGTTTTCATTGTGTCAAAGATGAACCCCCATGGTTTACTGTTTGGAAGGTGGCTTACAAACCACGCCTTGCCTCATTGCTCCACCCTCTCCCCAGGAAGGGTCAGGTGCCTCTTCTGGGTTCCCAGCACCCCTGCTCCTTCCTTCGAGCCCTTAGCACCACGGCCTGTGATTTTCCATGGTTGGCACCAGGCTCAAGAGTCCCTTGGGTTACAGCTAGGTTCTCAGTGTTCTGCCTGTAACTTTCTTCTCCTCCAGGCCCGCACAGAATTCCTACGGAAGAAAGCCAGGCATCAGAACTCACTTCCTGCACTGCAAGCAGCAGAAGCGGGAGCCCCAGGCAGTTCTGGCCCCGTGGACCTGTTCCGGGAGCTGCTGGAAGAAGGGAAAGGGGTGACGAGAGGCAATAGAGAATACGAGGAAGAGAAGCGACAGGAGAAGGTAAGCTGGTCTCACCCTCTTCCTCAGATCGTGGGTGGAGCTGGGGGTGGGGGTGCACCCTGCCCTCAGGTGTGACTACAGGGGTGTTTAGGGACATGGTGGTGATTAAACAAGCTAGAGAACTCAGACCAGTATTAGAACGTAGCATGTAAGAGGTGCTGGCTATTGCCAGGTGCTAGGTAGACCCCATCAGGTCTCTAACCTGATGTGCAGACCCTGAAGATGTTTGGGAAGTTAAGCTTTTAAAATGTAAATCAGCCGCTGCCCTGACCTGCCCTCAGGGATTTCCCATCAGACGGAACTGCCTCGACCTCAGTCACTCCTCTGCCTGGCTTGCTTCCAGCTTTGTTTTTTATCTCCCCAAAGATGCTGCCTTTGAACCCTAACCTAAGCAGCTCCCTCCTTCCTGTGCTGTTTGCTGCTGAAGCTGCCCTTGTGCCCCAGAGCGGGGCGCCCCGGGGACTGGTCTGTTAAGTCCTAGCAGCTGGTGGAGTCGGCTCCTGACAGGCTCTGCTGGCTGAATGTCTGGTTCTGCCTCCACGGGAACCTTGGCTCCCTCAGAGGGAACATGCTTCCTGTTCTTTCACATCTTCTGTCTCCCTCAGGAGAGGCAAGAGAAAGCCCTGGGCATCCTGACATACCTGGGCCAGAGTGCAGCAGAAGCCCAGACTCAGCCCCCATGGTACCAGCTGCCCCCAAGGCGGGGCAGCGCCCCCTCTGGTCCAGGACCCGATGAGAAGATCAAGAGCCGTCTGGACCCGCTGCAGGAGATGCAGAAGCACTTGGGGAAGAAGAGAAAGCACAGCGGAGACAGTGGCGGTCACAGCACCAAGGAAAAGAAGGGGCCCGAGAGACAGCGACCCAAAGAGTGAGGAGCCTCCCTCGGCCGCGGCCACCACGGGAGCTCTGGTTGAGGCAGGGCTCTGGGGCCTGCAAGGTCAAGCCCGTTTTTGTAACTCCGTTGAACGTTTCCAGCCTTGTTCTTGGGTCTGCAGAGACTACGTGATATTATAAGGCCGCTGCTCCGGTGGCTGGGGAGGCATCTGCGCAGCTGCTTGCTGAGACCTGTTGTTCACGTTGTATAGGTTGGGTCCTGACAGATGAAATTCAGTGAGAGGGAAGCTCTGAGGCTGTTTCTGAGACCAGAGTCTGAGGAGCAGAGGTCCGAGTAAACAGGCGTGCTTGTGTTCCTAGGACGCCAGACCCCCGGGTGCAGGCTGGCACCCCGCTGGGCCCTTCCTGCCAGAGGAGGGGGTGAGCCCGGCAGTGCACAGGGCCGCCCAGCTGAGGACTGGCGGGGGTCACTGCCCGTCAGGGCACCGAGGCCAGCTGCCGGGTCCCAGCGTCAGACCCCTGCCCTCCGAGGGGCTGGGCCTCCAGCTTCCCACACTGACTGTCCTCTCCCCCCAGGCCTCCGTCCCTGGAGCAGCTCCGAGCGGACCGTCTGCGGCGGGAAGCAGCGGAGAGGGCGCGGGCGGAGGCCTTGCTGGCCCGGGTGGGCGGTGCAGCGGCCCTGGAGGAGCAGCCGGAAGAGGTGGACGAGCGGCGGAGGCGGTACAACTCGCAGTTCAACCCCCAGCTGGCCCGGCGCCCCCGCCGGCAGGACCCACCGGCGGCTCCCTGACTCTCAAGGGGGGAGAGGAGAGGCCGCTGCTGCCAGCCGTCATATAAAACTATTTATTCATAAATATTTTCCAAAATGAAAATAGGTTTACCAAAAAATGTCCCTCACTGGGGAGGGGAGGGGGCGGCCCTGGCCCGGGCCCGGGGCGGGCTGGGGGAGCCTCCCGGCTCCCCGCTGCCGGTGCCGGGAGCAGGGCTGCCGAGGCCGGGCGCCGTCCCCGGGGCGGGGCCCTCACCTGGGCGGGATCGCATGCGGGGAGGGGAGGCGGGGCCGGTGTCACTGGAGGTCCCGGTCCTCCAGGTAGCGGTACTCAAAGGTGAAGCCTTCCTTCTTCCGCTGGCCCCACTTCTCGTAGTCAAAGTAGATGTAGGTGCCCTGGCCAGGGGAGAAGGCGGTCAGTGTGGGCACAGTGCTTGGGGTCCGGCCAGAGGGCCGGCGCTCAGGTCCCGATTCGCGCATGCGCCCCGTCCCTGCATCCGCAGGAGGCTCTTCTCGGGCAGGAACATGCTCGCCCCGAGGTGGAGCAGGGCCTGGCTCCTGCCGCTCCTTGCGATGGCTGTGCCCTTGGAGCACTGATCACTGCTGAGTGTGAGGCACACCCTCGAGGCCTCGGAACAGGCTGGAGCCTCAGTCCAGGCATGCTGCCGGGACAGATGATGTATTGCGGGATGTTGCGGGAACTTCTGAGGGGCTGACAACCTAGAAATACACTCCCTTCAGAGGGTTACGGCCGAATGGGCAGGGGACAGGGCTGCAGTCAGTGTCCGGGAGACACCATGGGGAGGGCGGGTTCTGAGTGAATGGTGGGCGTGCTTCAGAGAACCTGCAAGAACGCAAGGGAGGCCCTTGTTCAGGACCCTGGGCTCTGCTGAAGGCTTGGAGAAGCCACTGTGGAACACGCCAACTACAAGTTGAAACGAAGCACATCACAGCCAGGACACTACATAGCAGGCACTGGTACTACTTACATGTGATCAACTCATTTAATCCTCACAACAACTGCGTTAAGGGAGGCCCTGTCACCCCATTTTTACAGATAAGGAGATGGAGACACACGTTCACGTGAACCGTCCAGTCACCAGCCAGAGCTGGGTTCAAACCCAGGTGGTCTGGCTCAGTGAAGTGGAGGCGCTCGTGCTTGTTAGAATGAGAACACTTCCCCCTCCGTGTTGCCGAGCCCCTGCCCTGCTGGGTGTGGGGAGTGTCGCGTGAGCCCCGATCTTGGGTGGGAGATCCTGCATCCCCCACCCCCGGCCGGAGGTGAGGCAGGGCCAGGCTGTGCAGGGCTGGGAGGCACCTCGGAAGCTGGCTCCTCTGGCCTGACCCGGAGCCGGCCAGGCTGCCCGAGGAGTGCTACGTGGACTCAGCCCGCAGGGCCCAGGCAGATGGGGCGCGGGGAGGGGCCCTCACCTGCTCAAACTCATCCGTGATGGTCTTGGGCTCCTCGTGCCTCTGGAACCACATCATGTACTTGGTGTGGAACCGCCAGGACTGCTTCTTCAGGGCCTTGGCTGCCAGGTACTGCGCCTTTGTGCCCTGGGGAGCGGAGGCGGGGGGCTCAGGGCTTGGGGCTGGGGCAGGGTGGCAGGCTGAGCCCCAGCCCCGCCACAGACCGAGCCGGGCCAGGGCACAGAACACGCTGGCGCGGCTCAGAAAGGAAAGGAGGCAGGAAGTGGGAAGTGTTTTCAGAAACGCTCTGAGAAGGAGAGAGACTAATCGTGATGAGAGCCAAGAGCAGGCAGTTTAGAGACTTTCCCAAGGCGGGCTGAGGGCAGAGATCATGGCGGACTCACTGGGGTCGCAGAGGGGGGATGGCTCCCTGCTGGTCCCCAGGGAGGCCTGAGAACGTGCCCGCGGTGCCGGGCCGTCGGGGCGGGTGGGTGGGCGCTGTGGGCCATGCCCGCAGTGCTGGGGCGGGCAGGCTCCCTGCTGTTTGTTGCCCTGGACGGGCTGGCCCCAACCTCAGCAGCCCTGACCCTCCTGCTGGAGCGAGTGGGGGCGGGCTGGGGGGACTGGGAGGGTGCGGTCCCGGAAGCCGCAGAGGGGCACCCACCTCACCCCTGCAGCCCAAGGGGGCGGCGGGGCTGGCGGCGAAGCTAGGGGGCCCTGCTGTACCTCCAGATAGTAGAAGATGAAGAAGAGCGTCTCGGTGGACAGGCGCTGGTAGAACTCCACGGTGTCCGAGTGTGGGGGCGGCATCTGGTGGTGGTAGGGGGGCGTCGGGCAGGGGTTCCGGGGCAGGTACTGCCTGTGGGGGACGGGGGAGTCAGGGCTAGCCGAGGGCAGTGGGCCACGGCCCTGCCCCTGCTCCCCGCGGGCCCTCACCGGATGCGCTCCGAGTCCGAGGGGTGGGGCATGTGGTGCCAGGCAGCCTCCTCCATGGCCTGCTGGTACAGCTGCTCCTTGGTGAGGGGCACCGGGCCCAGCGGACACACGCCCAGCGACAGCGGGATGCTCACCTCCGACAGCTGCAGGGGAGGCTGGGCCGAGGCCGGGGGCGCCGCGCTGCTGCTCAGGAGGATGTCTGCAGGGCAGGGGGCGGCAAGTGTGAGGCCGCGGCATGCAGCCAGCCTGGCGGGCCCACCCCAGCCCCAGCCACTCACCTCGCTCGGTCAGGTGCAGCGTGGGCACGGGGTCCTCGATGCCAGAGCTGATGGCCGCACGCTCCGCCATGGACTTCAGGGAGCTCAGGGGCTCGGGGGCCTGGGGAGGAAGGGTGGCTGGCTGAGGCCAGGGCTGCGGGCGGGCCCTGGTCCTCGCGGTCGGCACGTCCACCTCTCCGCTGGGCTTCAGCTGAGCTGAAGCTGTCCGTGTAGGACAAGGTCCAGCAGTGCTGGGCGGTGGGGAGAAGACCCGAGCACAGCCGAGCGCCCGCCCACCGGGGTGCCCCCGAGACCCCACACTGCAGACGGTCAGCACCGTGGGAGTCCCACTGGGCACCCGCTTCTCTGCACGCCTGCATACTGGAAGGGCCCGCTCAGTGCCCGCGCCGGCCTGGCCGGAGGGCCCCCACTCGGCCCCCGCAGCTGCTCTGGCCTCCTCACCCCACACCAGCAGTGACGAGGCTCCGCCCTGCTGCTCGGGCTCCCTTACCCCACAGCGTGCTGTGCCCCACGGGGACCTTTCCACCTGGGTCTCTCCTGTCATCTCTCCTCAAAACCTTTCTACCTGTCCCCACCGCTCACTCAGTAACCGGAAGAAACAAAATGTACACCAGTGTCAGGAACCTCAAGACTTGTTTTTCTCCAGAGAAATAAATGCACACACGGAGTCTCCCTGTTCATTGTACGTCTCTGGGTCAAAGACGGTTCTGAGCGCGTCATGAAGCCCGTTCCAAAGAAGCCCTCACGCTGGAGAAGGGACTGTGAACCCTTCCGTTTTCCAGTTGAAGGAAGGAAGGGGCAGGGGACAGTGCAGGCCTGGGCCTCCTGAGGAGCTGAGGGCAGACTCTCCAGCCCAGGAGGCCGAGCCTGGCCCTGCTCGCACCCGTCTGCTGAACCCGCTCAGCCTGCCACTGTGTCCCGGGAGCTGCTCCTGCGGCCATGAGCCCTCCCCTCGCCCCAGCCCTTGCTGGGGCCTCCCCAGGTTAAGGCAGATGTGCCTGTGTGGTCCGCAGCACCCCATGCCCCACCCTGACCAGACCCGCCCCAGCATCTGCAGGGAAGGTGGGAAGTGAGTTCAGCCAGCACAAAGCGGCTCAGAGCAGACGAGTCTGAACTTAAGTGTTGTTCATCTTCCAAGGGAAGGAGACAGTGAGCCCCAGACAGTCAGTCGCGTGAAAGGACAGGCTTATGGGGCGAACTGGGGACAGACTGACGGCTGGAAGGAAGCAGGTGACAGTGGTCACAAGGAGTGAACACGTACAAGCAGGAGGCAAAGGTCCAGGAAGACAGGGACCCCGGCGCGAAGAAGCAGAGGCTAGAGCCGAGGTGACAGGGCAGGTGTGCTGGAGAGGAGCTGGGGAGCCGCGCGGGCTGGAGAAGGGGCCCCAGGGGGCGTGGGGAGCTGGGCGGAGGCGTGGGCCCACCTTGATCTCGGGTGCGGCGCTGAACTGCGGAGGCCCGTTCAGCAGGCTGCCAGCTGCCTTGGCTTCACTGAAGCTGGGTGTCGGGGAGCTGGGGGGGTTCACGGGGAGCGGCACCAGGAGGCTGGGTGCCCCCGCGTTGTTCCCTGAGCCTGGGGCCACACCCCCGGCACCCGCTGGGGCTGTGGCGCTGGGTTCCTTCCTGCAGAGGGGAGCAGATGGGCGCAGGCTCAGGAGACGGTCCCAAGTTGGGCGGACAGGGAGACTCAGTGGTTGGGAAAGTCACAGAGGGAGCGCGCCCAGTGGGGCTGGCCGGGGGGATGCGGTCAGGACAGGGGCGCTACTTGGGAATGTGAATCCTCAGGAGGCCTCCTCTGCAGTGGCCAGTGCAGGAGGGTGTGGGAATGCCCACCCAGAGCCTGGGGAGGCACCTGGGGTCAGCCCGCGTCCCCCACAGGAGAGGAGCACGCACTCAGGGTGTTCTGCAAGGAGAAGCCCACGGGGGAGGGGGGCTGCCCTGAGACCTGGAGGAGTGCGGAGAAGAGGCGGGCAGGGACCCGCACTTGGAGAAGTCGACGCAGACCTGCCCATGGAGCTGGGCCCTGGGGCAGGACACAGCCAAGGAGAGGCAGAGCACCCAGCAGTGTGGGGCCCCGGGAACAGCCCTGCTCGGACGGGGGCTTCTGGGGAGGGCCCACTGGCGCAGACAGGCATGTGTCTGCGCCCTGGGGCAATGGCCGTGCCGAAGGCTGCACGACCCTCTGGACACTCACGTGGTGCTGGGAGGCGGGTTGTGGGGGCCGGGCGGAGGGCCCAGGGCTTGGCCACCCGCGCTGCCACCCGCTGTGCTGTTGAGCGCCGCCTCCGCCGGGCTGTCTGCCACCACCGAGCTGTAACCTGGCGGGCGAGAGGGGTCAACGGCAGCCTCCAGTGCAGCCCCCCCAGGTCTCCCCCACCGCCCCCACTTACTGGTGGCGCCGTTCTGCTTGCCACCGCCTCCGCCTCCGCCGCTGTTGCCCCCACCACCTCCGCCGCCGCCTCCCGCCCCAGGCTGGGCGCTGGGGGGCCGGGGCTGGGCGCTGCTGGGCCCACTGGGGGCTGGCGGGGCCACAGCCTGGGCGTAGGGGGCAGGGGTGCCCGCACTGTGGCTGGGCGCCGGGCTGGCCTTGGCACCCAGGGCGCTCGTGGGGGCAGCTGCAGCCGGGGCGCCGTTGCTGCCAGGGGCAGCGCTCAGGGCAGAGGCGGCAGGTGGGGGGCCGGGCGGGTAGCTGGGCGGCACAGCCGGGGACTGAGGGTGCTGGCTGCTGTGGACGGGCTTGGAGCCGTTTTTGGCTGGAGACTGCGGGTAGGAGGGAAGAGAGGGTCAGGACCCAGGGAGCCACCTGCACACCCTCCCCCCAACAAGGCCCATCCCTGTTGACCTTGCTGCCCTGGCCCTTACGGGGACCCCGTGGCTTCCAGCTCCACGCTAACACCACTCACACGTTTCCAGCCCGCATCCAACCCACCACATCCTGCCTGCGACATCCCACAGGGTCCTGAGACCCCATCTGAGACCCCGTCTGATGATGAGGGACACCCCCACGACGTCCCACAGGGACCTGAGACCCCATCTGATGATGGGGGGACACCCCCATGATGTCCTGTGGGGACCTGAGACCTCATCAGATGATGGGGGGACACCCCCACGATGTCCCGCGACCCCGTCTGATGATGTGGGGACACCCCCACGACGTCCCGCAGGGACCCAAGACCTCATCAGATGATGGGGGGACACCCCCACGACGTCCCACAGGGGCCTGAGACTCCGTCTGATGATGTGGGGACACCCCCATGATGTCCCGCGGGGACCTGAGACCCCATCAGATGATGGGGGACACCCCCACGACGTCCTGCGGGGACCTGAGACCCCATCAGATGATGGGGGACACCCCCACGACGTCCCACGGGGACCTGAGACCCCATCAGATGATGGGGGGACACCCCCACGACATCCCGTGGGGACCTGAGACCCCATCTGATGACAGGGGGGACACCCCCATGACATCCCACATCTGATGACCCAGGGGGTGGGGGAGGTAGTGGGAACCACAAATGTCTTCAGGATGAGGTGGCTGGATCCAACATGCTGTGTTTAAAAACACAACAGGAATTCTCAATTAAACTGTCCCTAAAATAACTTTGGAGACCACTGGCGACCCCCACACCACAAAGTGGAGCCCGGAGCCCAGTAACAAGCCCATGCCCGCCCCGAGGCCGAGCTGCTGCCGCCTGCGCTCACGCCCCCGGGCAGTAGGCCCCGCTGCCGCCCCGATCGCCCCGCTGCCTCCCAGGCCCTCGAGCCCACTGAGCGCCGAGCAGGACTCACGACCCAGACTCTGCTTCCTTCCTGGCACCATGCTCGTCACCCCGTCCCATCCCAGCTTCATCACCCCGGCCTCAGGGTTCCCCTGGGGACCAGCCCTCCCAGGAGCCCACACTCCCCCAAGACCCCTTCGGGTGTGATGGGATCCCTACAGTGTACCCCCGTCCAAGCAGAGGCTCGGGAGGGGAGGCCTGTGGTGCACACAGCCAAGGCCCAGGGCGCCCCCAAGCAACGCAACCCGCGCGGTTCCTGACCTCTCGCTGCTCAGGCTTGCTAGGCCCCTCCAGAGCTGCTCCACCAGGAGAGCTGCTCCACCACTGTGGACCCCTCAGCCCCCAGCCTGAGGTCCCGTACTCCGTGAGCCCAGCGCGCCTGGCCAGCTCCCCGCCACGCTTCCCAGCCCCAACACGACAGGCCTGCTCCCCGCCGCCGCCTCACGGGGGGATCCTCCTCTAATGCCCAGGCCCGCCATCTCTGCCGGGAAGCACCCGCCGACCATGCCTTGCTGCTGCCGCAAGCCTCCCCAGGCCCACCCAGCGTGTCCCCGGAGCCCCGCATGAGGGCCATGCTCGGGCCTCAGCGAGCCTCGGGAGCCGCGAATGGGTGAGCACCGGCCTGTCAACGGCCAACCCCCAGCACACCCACCTGGCTGACTTCACTGTCCGTCGAGCGCCCCCTCTTCTTGTCATCTTCCGAGTTTTCCTGAGGTTCGAGAGGCGCGGTCAGAACCTGTTGAGTCTCTAGGGCCCGGACAGAGCCACCAACCCCTGAACCCCCGATCTGACACCCGCAGGCCACTTCTGGCCCCAGAGCTGCTCGGGCTTTGTGACCTTGGTCTCCAGGGAAACCTACCTAACCCTGCTCCCCAGGGCACCTGTGTTCAGGGGCCAGCACCCTCACCAGCCTCTCAGGGACCCAGGAAGCAGCTCCCCACCCCCCCAGGGGACAGCAGCCTAGGCACACTGCCCCCCGTCCTCCACACCCGGACCCACAGCGGCCCTGACTGCCCTGCCAGCGATCTATGGCCGAGGGCTCAGGCCCGAGACACCCCCGGGACCCCACCTCCGGGCCCCCAGGCCTTACCGTGGTGCAGTTGGCCGGGCTGGGTGGGATGGGGGAGCTGGAGGTGGTCGAGGTGGGCGTGCTGCTGGACTGGTTGAAGATCTCGTCCTCCATGTGGCTGTGGCTGGGGGGGGAGGTGGCGACCAGCGCCTGTGCTGTGGGAGCGGGCAGGCGCGTCAGCGGGCGGCCCGCTCCCTGGGCCCCGCCGCCCCCGCAGGCCTGCACCGCGCTCACGAATGTCCTCGAGGTCCAGGTCGTCGTAGAGGAACTCATTCTCCTCGAAGTCGGGGTCCTGGGACGAGTCCACATAGTACTCGACGTCGTCCTTGATCTTGCGGATGGCGTCCACCAGGATGGAGTCGTTGTCCAGCATGCGCAGGATGGTCTCCAGCATCCGCACGTGGTAGCGATGCTTCTCGATGTGCCGCTTCAGGCCCTCGATCCGGTCCTGCTTCTGCTGGCAAGCCCAGGGCCAGGCTCAGGGGCTGCGGGGCCTGGTGGCCCCCCGCCCCCACAGAGCCCAGCCTCAGTCCCTGGGCCCGCCTCCGGCCCTCCCGAGCCCACAGGAGCAGCACGCGCCTCCCAGCCCGAGATCACTGGGAACGGCAGGGAGAGCCAGGGGTCCCCGCAGCTCCTGGCAACAGGCCCCATCCCACCCACCCGACCACCGGCCTCTCAGCAGCAGCCCTCACCTGAGCCCGCCCACCAGCCGTGACCACCCTCTGGAGCACGGAGACCCCCTCGCCCCTGCCTCACTCTAACAGCATAATGGTCACCCCCACCTGGGGGTGCATACTGTTCTTAACTGTGACAGTTTCTGTCACCACGCTGACACCCCACCCTCATCCGTGGACCCGTAGAGGGGGCTGGGATTCAGAGGCCTGCCGCAGAGGCCCCATCACCTTCAGAACTTGATGTCTCAGTTCTCACATCTCAGCGCCAGGTGCCATCCCTCCGCTCTGCAAGGACCCGCCTCCCTCTGGCACCTGCCCACCCCCGTGCCATCCTCTGCCCTCCTCTGCACACAGACAGGGGCACCCCTGGAACGCAGACCGGCGGTCCTGGCTCTCTGGGACTCGGGCCCTGAGCTCTGCCTTTGTCTCAGAGCACACCTCTCCTCGGGCCAAACTAACCACTCCTCCACGTCCCGCTGTCCGCACACCTCCTGCCCTCCTCAGGTCCTGGGCCCTCAGGGGCTGGGAGGCCACAGCGGCACCTCCCCAGCCTCCTGCCCTCGGGGCCTCAGGCCTCACGCTTACCCTCCACCCAAGCCGAGCTCAGCACGTTCCCCCAAACCGCCCCTCCTGGCAGCCCGCTGTTCACCCAGACGCCAGACGGCACCCAAGGGATGGCCTTACCCTTCCCCGCACCACCCCCACCTGCCCACCTGCCAGCCCGCCCCCGCCCCTGACCTCTGCTCTCTGTGCTCCAGGCCCCCCGCCCCCGCCCCCTACCCTCTGCGCTCCGGGCCCCCCACTCACATCCTTGTCGCCCTTCTTCTTGCGCGTCTGCACTGACAGGGACTCCACTTCGCTCTCAAACTGGTCCACCTGCATGTTCAGGGTGTCGATGGTGTTCTGCACGTGGAGGGGAGGCAGCAGTCAGCGGAGTCCCCGCCCCGCAGACCTGGGGCCCCGGCTCGCTCAGCCCCGCTCTGCCCCGACGCACCGTGAGCCACTGGCCGACCTCCTCCTTCTCCTTCTGGGCAGGGTCCACCTTCTGTGCCAGACCCAGGCCCTCCTTGCTGTAGGCTTTGGTCTTGGTCTCTCGCTCCACGACTTTGAACCGTTCCATTTGCTGTGGAGACCGCCGTTGGCGGGGATCCCGAGGGCAGGAGAGCAGCTGACTCAGGGCCGGGGAGCTTCCACTGGAGCCCCAGGGGCCACCACCTACCTCCCCCAACCACCTTACTCTTCTCAGGGCCTCTGTGGCCCCAGGACTCCTGCCACCCCTGCCTCTCAGACACCAACCCCGGGCTCCTACCGTCTCAATGAGCTTGCGGTTGTCTATGAGCTGCCTCTTGTCCTTGATCTCGTTGGACGCTACCCATGTCTTGATCTGGTCCCTCAGCCGCTGGAGAGGGCAATGGCAGGACAGTCAGGCGGCCTCAGGGCGGCCTGGCCCCAGCTCTCCAGCCCTCGGCTCCCCGGGACCCAGCAGTCCACGCTCCCTGTTCCCGCCGCCCTCAGGACACAGAGTCCAGGCCCCCAGCCCCCTCACTTGAAGCTTCTTAATCTCCTTCTTTAGATCAGCCTCATACTTTTCTTTCTGGTTCGCGTTGGCTGCATTGTGGAGCTGCAGACGGAGAGAATGCAGGCGTCAGTGCGGTTCTGGCTGCCCGACGGCCCACTGCAGGGGAAGACTCCAGTCTCTCTGTGGGCCAGGGACCCTGGGGGACCCACCCCCCCGCGCCCACCAATCCACCCCCGAGCGGCTCCTGTGACGTCCTCAGCATCTGGACAGGCAGGCCCTCTCCCGGCCCACGCTCGGGAGCTCTCAACCTTGTCCTGCTCCCCCACCCCTGGAGGTGCACCTGGAGTTTTAGGCCCGGCCCCTGTACCTTCTGCCAAATGTCTTCAAATTGCTCCACGCCCTCAGACACCTTCTTGAGGCAGCGGTCAATCTCACCTGGCGGGGAGGAAAGGAGGCTGTGAGCGTGCTGCCGGAGGCTGCAGGCGCCCGAGGAGTTCCGCGGAGTGAGCACGGGGCACACCGGCGGGAAGCCTGGTACCTTGGAGTTTGCGCTTGTCCGCCATCTTCCCTGCCCTACAGACGCGCTCTCTTCATACTCCCCTGGAGACGGACGCTGCTGGGGCAGAGCGAGAAGAACACACGGTCACTCCCTGGCTGAGGGCCGCGAGCGAAGCCGGGAACTGCAGGGTGCGTGGAGGGTGAAGGGGGAGATGCAGTAGCTATCTGGTGTCGGAGATCAGGCCCAGTTCTCCTCCTCCGGCCTTGACTGCCCAGCACAGGTCTGGCCCACGAGAGGACTCTACAAGTTTCTGACCAAGGAAATAGATTTTTTGCCTGCCTCTGACCCAGGAAGTGGAAAATTCCTAGGGCATGAAGCACCTTCTCCCCCAGGTAACACTCAAAAGGATTTCTTGGAGCAGGAAAATGGCACGCGGCCAGGTCAGGCTGACTGCTGGGGACAAGGCCTTAGACCCAGAGACCACGATTCCCCTAGAGGAGTCATGCACACAGGTGACCAGAATCCTCACACAGGGAGAGATCACTCCTCAGACAAGTCAGTACACAGAGACTGTTGCATCCTATGGGGAGGAGTCAGATATCATATGCACACGGTGAAGTTGTAAGGAACTGAGAGGAAGCGTGATGGTGATGGGGCAGACAGAAGGTGCCTACAACTGAGAGAACTAAAACCACCCCCTTACAGAGGGCTGGACCTAAGCAGAAGACGGCCTTCGACCTCTGATAAATTTAATCCAGACGAGAATCCTTAAACCAAAGAAGATAACGCTACTAACCTATAGTGGCAACACCAAAAAGGCTTAGAGGCGTGGGGCACAGAGTGCCACCAGAGAGGCCCCGGAGAGGCGAGAGCTCCGACAGAGATGAGGGTGAAGGGAACCTCAACGGAGGCGGGGCTGTCTGGACCCATGCAGGAAGGAGTTACAGGTCAGGTGCGGCGGTGCTGCAGACTCAGGGACACCTAAGCCCTCCGACAAGCCTCCTCTAGGCAGAGATGGGCATTTTCAGCCTACAGCAAGTGACACGGAACCCAGAGGGGACTGAGACCACAGGAGAGCCACCAGAAGCTTTCCCTGGGGAGACGCCCCCCCTCAAGCCCAGGAGAGATGGCGAGCCTCGGGGAGGGAAGTCCCTGCAGAGGTGGGGAGGACCCGAGCAGCCCCAACTGCCCAGGCAGAACGAGCAGGTTGAGGAGCCTCGACCCAGACAGAGGTCACGCCAGGAGGGCCTCCAACACAGAGAAGGGAGCCTCCAGGAGAGTCCTGTGCCCCAGAACTTTCCACGGGGACAAGAACATCCTGCATCTGTGCCATCTGTGAGTGTGGCGAAGGCAACATAGAACACAGCTACAGGCTTTGCTACCTGGTTGAGATTCCAATAAAACGTGCCAGTAGCCACCGTAGGGACAGCGTATCAGGGAGCACGCCTTCAAACCAGCAGCAGCCCGGACGGGCCCGCGCTCCAGAGGGACCCACTCTGGTGATGCCGACCTCTGAGCAGTGGGGGAGAGGGCAAAGCGAGAGGAAGAGCAGCTGGCTGACACGCCAAGGCGGGGAACACGGGGCAACTCCAGCTCCAGGAAGGCGGGGCAGCCAGAAAAAGCACCCAGGAGACAGTAGCACAGAGGGGCTCAAAGCGAGGTAAGGCAGCGCCTGGATCACCACGAGGCATGCAGGGGTGCGTCTGAGCCAACACCCCGATGCTGGAGTGCAGCCTCCTGCCCGGGGCTGTGGGGGCCCAGGAGTCAGACAGAAGCCTCTGCTCCCCGCCTCCACTCCAGAAGCCCCACGTGGGGCAGGGATGGGCGTTCCAACCCGGAGGGTTTACACCCCGAACAAGGCACTGCAGGCCTCGGGGGGGGGGGGTCCCCACACTAAATGGGCCTGGGCACCCAGCCCAGGAGAGGAGTTGATACCCTCTAGAGGGGGCAACAAACTGTGGCAGCAGAAGTCCTGAAGGAAGCAAGGTGCCAGGGTCAAGGAGAGCCTGAGCCGAGGAAGCGATGTTTCAGACAGAACCTCCAAGTGGGCAGGGCTGAGCCCGAGAGGAGATACCACCTGAGCTGGGGAAGGCAGCGGCTCCAGAGGAGGGCATGTGTGCCGGGTCGGGTGCTCGCAGCCAGGGCAGGTCGGTGCTACAGGAGCTGAGAGCCTCGGCTGCAGAGGCACCATGCCCCCCCCACACACACAGCAAGGGGGAGCCTGTACCTCAGACCCCCAGGGAAGGCCTAGAAAGGGGGCTGGAGCCTGAGTCCCGAGGCAGAGAAGCCCTCCTCAGAGAAGAGCCCCAGGCTGACAGGACTGGGGCACTGCTGCTCTCAAGGGGGCCGCCAGGGAGCTCCGGGGCGGGGAGGCGTGGCAGGGGTCTCAGGCGGAGAGATGCAGGTGCGCTCACCGCCCCGAGTCTCAAACAGCACCCAGGACTCTGGGAACCCTGGCCCAGGAGACTTAACCAAAACACTCCATCCAAGAGCAAGGCACATCCCCATGAGTCAGGAGCCTATACTGGGGGTAGCGGGTGAGCAGTGAGGCAGACCCACTGGAACCAACAACCACTCAAGCGGGGCTAAAACTCACACAGAAGAGCCCCCCAAACCATCACTTCACGGGAGACCACTCTGCCACACACAGGCCTGACGAGCTGAAGCCGTAGTCCTGGAGAACTAATACCAAGCGGTCCCTAACCCTGGGGGCTGCCACGTACCATGGGGTGAGGCACCCTGGCCTGCTGGGGAGTGGTGCTGGAAGGCCTCCCTTAATCCGGGAGGCCACTGACACCAGGAGGCAGACGCACTAGGCCCTGGGGTGGAGGGGGTCATCTCCCCGCTGCAAGGCCCGGACCAAGGCTGGGGGACTGGGAAGCCCACCCTGGGGTCTTCGGTCCTGAGGAAGTGATGACAGGGGTTCTTCCCCTCAAGTCTCAGGCATCTTACCCCCCACATCAAGGAAGCTGGGCCTCAGGAGAGAGCAGACGCCAAGTTCCCCTACTAGTGGGACATCACAAGCAGGACGGAGGCATCAGCCCTGGGCACCAGCATCGGGAAGGGTCCTCAGTCCCACAGTGGGGGCACATAAAAGGGCACAGACACCTCAAGTCCAACAGTGGTCCATGCCAACCCAACAACGACAGGACCCTACTCCTGGAGAAGGCAGCAGAGAAGTTCCTCACCCTGGGGAAAAAGCCCCACTCTGACCCCAAACCCCGCACCGCACAGTACAGAAAGCTCAGCTTGAAGAAACCTTACACCCCGAGGGAGCTCCAGCAGGGTGGTCTGGGCAGGCCTGGGCCCGGGTTCCATGACTGCTTACACCAAGAGCAATCTTTAGGGCTGGGGAGCTTCCACAACCACAGAGAGGAGCCCAAAATGAACACCCAGGTCCTGGACCCTTGCCCCCTGGCAGGATCACACCCCAGTGGAGGGACTGATGGGAATGGAGGCAGGAGCCTCAGACCGAGGGAAGTGACAGTGGACATGGTGAGGGCAATGGGGCGGAGAGGAGCCAAAACAACCAGCACCAAAGGACGGGAGCAGCAACCGTGCGGGAGGGGATCACCCCTGGGCTGACAGGCAGGTCCTACTTAGAAAGAGAGGTGCTGGTGCTGCCCGCCAACAGGAGATGGCTGACCCACAGGAGCTCAACAGTCCCACCAAGTAGACCCTGAGGCAGGAGTGACATCAAGAGGAAGTCCACACCCGGAGCAGGCTGGGCAGAGTGTGGATCCAGGAGAGAGAGCGTCCAGAAGAGCCAGGAACAGATACTCAAGAGTAACAGCCGAGGCCCAAGTGGGCAACATCGAGGACAGTCGTGACACCCGCGGGGGAAGGCCTGGGCTGAGGGCTGTGCAAGCCTTAGACCTGGTGGACTTGTCAAGCCTTAGACTTGGAGGACTTGTTACTACAGAGACAGAAACTTGGGCTGAGACTCCAAGCTCTGGAGCTGACGTCTTCACTCCAGGGAACTGACACCCACCCACCCCCGCCCCGACCCCTTCCCCAAAGAGAGTGGCGCCCGCGGTGGGAAGGGAGCGGGGAAGAGGGATCCCTGGCCCCAGGAAGGGTGACCCCCCCCCCTCCTCGTCCGGGGGAGTCGCAGCCCTACACCCACGCGAAGGGGGCAGCCTCGCCCGGAGACCGCCCCCCACCAGCACAGGGGCTGCAGCCGAGGGGTGGGGGGCAGGCACCTGAGCCCCGAGAGGGCGGGCACCTGCGGCCAGGGGCGCCTCCATCCTTCCAGCGAGGAGCCAATACCGACGCGGAGAGGGGCGGGCACCTCGCACCCTCACACCCCACGGGGGCCCGACGCGGACGCCGCGCGGGGCCGGGGTCGCGGGAAGACCCCCGGGCGCGGCTGAGGGGCGTGGAGGAGGAGGGCGGGCGTGCGGGGGCCGCGCACCGCCCAGCAGACTGCGAGCGCCAGGGCCGCGCGGGGGCGGGGGCGCCGCGCCGGCCATGTCGCGACAGGCGGCGGGGTCGCAGGGGCGGGAGGTGGCGGGGAAGGCGGCCGACGGCGCCGAGGGAGGAGGGGAAGGGGTCCGGCCCAGTCGAGCCTGACGCTCTCACCACAGGAGCTGGCGCCGCCGCTGAGGAGCGTATCGCGACAGGCGGGGGAGGCGAGCGCCCGCCGCCTTATTCTCGCGCCCCGGGCCCGGGCGCTATCGCGATAGCGGCGCGAAGCGGAAGTGGGGTGGGGGGATGTGGGCCCGGGGTTGTTCTGACGACGGGGTCGGGGCTCAAGGGAGGCCGCGGCGTCTGCCGAAGGCTCCGCGGAAGCTGACCGGGCCCGGTCCAAGATGGCGGCGGCGGAGGAGGCCTCCCCTCCTCTCTTCTCGTCTCTGGCGCCGACCCGCCCCCGACCCCCGAATATAGGCCTATCATTGCTCCGGCCGCACGTCGCTCTTGCCCGTCGAGCTCGCTCTATTGGTTCTTGTTGGGGATGCGGCCGGCCCCCTCTCGATGATTGGACAATCGTTGCAAGGCGCGGCGTTCGATTGGCTTCCCGCGCGGGCTGCTAGGATTGGCTCAGGCTTTCTTCCCCTCTCCGCCTCCTCCTCCCGCCTCGGGGCACAACACGCCAGCGCGAGGACTTGTGCGTCAATCCAGATGCCTGTGTCGTCCTGATTGGGTACGCCCGCCCCCCTCTAGTAACCCAATTGGTCGGAGGGAGGAGCTAGGCTGATCAGGGGCGGGAAGTCGTCCGTCAAGTTTGGAGCCGTCTTCCATTGGTTGTGCGGGGACATTCTGCCCTGAAGTCATTGGCTGGTCCAGAGAGTGGGTGGGGAAAGCGGAGGAAGGCATGGCGAGTAGGCGTTAAAGGCCGCGTACCTAATCGGAAACAGACAGGTGCCTTCAAATCGGGGGCCGGGGTTGAAGGTACCTGCCAATCAAGACAGCCCCGGGGCGGAGCCAGGCAAGATCGCCCACCCCTTCCCGTTCATGGACCTGGCTGTCGTTCATTTCTGGCCGTCCAATGATGTGACGAGTGGGCGGTACCCGCTCCTGGAAGCGTGTGAAACCTGGCGTAGCAGGCAGGCTTGGGACTAGCGCGCATCCTTCCGCCTGCCTTGTGTCTTGGCTAGGCGGACAGGTCTCTCAGTTGTACGGTCTTTCTCCAAGTGCCTGTGGCCCATCTTTGAGACTTAGAGGATGGAATTAAAGGAAGGAAGCAGAAGACAATGCCCCAAGTCACTGACATCACGCATAGCTGCATTGGTTGGGAAGCGGCATGGAGTTTTTGTCCTTCCTCTGAATGGTGACGTGATTGTGGAACAGGAACTCTCCTCCGCACCTCCGTTCGCTTGTTGTCGTGAGGATGCCGCAGAAGGTACAGATGGGATTCCCTGTCCACCCCCTACTCCCGTGCGCACCTCCCCCCACCATGATTGTCGCCTACTGGGCTTTAAGATCTCAGCTCGGTGGTCTTCTCTTGGAGGGAAAACTTCCCTGACCTCCCGTTCTGAGTGGTCCCATGAGCCCTGTTCATTAGAATCTACTTTTGCGAGTATGCCATCCTTTTCCTAATGATTTGAGTCTTCTTCTCTCAGTAGAAAGCAGTCGGTAACCACTTGCTGAATGAATACATGGATGAATACGGGGATAACTTGTGGTTAAGACTTGCTAGGTACCGGTGCTTCTGCAAACCAGGAGGCATTTGCCCTGGGTCACACAGTGGAGATGGGAAATCAGGTCTGCCTAGCTCCTCTGGAAGGAGGAAAGTAAGCTAAGTCCAGGGGAGATGCAGCTGAGAACATTGGAATCACCTGTGGCAAGGCAGGCGCTGCTTTTAGGTTCGCACAGACCTGGGGAGTGAAGCCTGGGGATCTCTATTTTTACAAACGTCCTGGGTGATCACTAGAGTTGAAGAGTTATTGATCCAGAACAGCCTTGTTATTCAACATGTAGCTCCTGGATGGAGTAGTACCTTTAAGATTGTTCAAGAATCCCTTGGGGATTTGTCAAATGCCAAGTCTGATTCAGGAGGTCCCAGGCCTTGCTTTCCAAGATTCCCAGGCGATGGTGATGGCCCACAGTTCACACTTTGAGTAGCAAGGGTCTAGAGCAATGGTTCTCAAACTTGGCTGCACATTAGAAGCACCTGGGTATTTAAAAAAATTCAGATACTCAGGCCTTGTCCCAGACCAATTAAATCAAGAGTTTCTTGGGATGGGAACCAGACATTGGTAATTCAGACTCTGAAGATGATTCCAACATGCTGCTAATCTGGTAAAGAACTTTCTAGAGCAGTAGTTTTCAAAGTGGGTCCCGGCATCAGCCGCAATAACCACCACCTGTGAAGTTGTTAGTCATGTGTTTGAGCCCCACCACAGACTATGTGCTTCTCTGGTGGATCAACAAGAAAGAATCCTCTACCAGTGCAGGAGACGCAGGTTCAATCCCTGGGTGGGGAAGATCCCCTGGCAAAGGGAATGGTCACCCACTCCAGTATTCTCTTCGGGGAAATCCCACGGACAGACGAGTCTGGGGGGCCACAGCCTATGCGGTCACAAAGAGTCGGACATGAGGGAAAGACTAAAAACACACAGGTACACATAGACCAACTGAATCAAACTCTCCTTCCAGCTGATCCTGAAGCTTACTGAACTTGGAGAAACTGTTCTAAGGATGCAGCACTATCGGGTGACTTAGATTCCTTCTTGAGACTCGCACCTCCATGCCCCCGTCCACTGGTTCAACGGTTCAGTCTGGCCAGCGGGGCACGGGGATTCTGACAGGTGGCTCTTCCCTGGCACACCCACAGGCAGAGGTCAGCAAAGGTCACTTTCAAGCAAGGCTGATCTACACAGTTCCAGGGCAAGTCTGGGAAGACAGTTCTGTGGCCTGGGGTTATATGACCTTCGGAAAGAACCTCCCAGGTGTGCAGACTCTCTCACGTGAGGGAGAAGGAGAGTAGCCTTGGGATGAGACACACAGAGCCCCGAATGGTGACGGGGGAGTCCCATGTAGAGAGATTTCAGCCAGGACCCCATGAGCTGGGGAGAGACCCAGGGAGAAACTGCGAGCTGTAGAGGCCTGGCTCCCAGTGGGGCTGCTACTCCAGTGTAGCTAAGGATGGCTGACCTTGCAGGTCAGCAAGTAGCTCTGAAGCCAGCTCCCAGCACAGAGCAGGCGGCCCCTGGAGGCACAGCACTCCCCTTACCTGGCAGGTGCTTTCGTAGTGCTGGGTCCCCCCCAGGGCAGGGTGCCTGTCTGCCCCACACGGGCAGGGCCTGACGCACCAGGGTGGGAGCGGGAAGTCCTCAGCCAACACTGGAGTAACAGCAGGGCCCCTGTCACGGGGCCCTGAGGGTGAGCCCGGTGCTGAGTATTTCCTGAGCATCCTTCTGTCCTCACGTGTGTGCCTGGTGGTGTCAGTGGGGAGGCCTGGACGGTGGAACAACCGCCCAAGATGCCACAAGCAGCCAGGTGGCCTGTGCTGGAAGCTGGGGCCTTGGAATGAGCGGGGTTCTTGAAGGGGCCTGGAGATGGAGAGGGTGCTCCTCGCCCCAGAACCCCACGAGGAGGTGACAGGCCCAGGGGTGGACCTGGGTCCTGTGGAGCCCGAGCTCTGTTCCCCAGACCCCGGGGCGCTGACTCCTCAGCCACCCAGGTGGCTGACAAACGCTCACTCGCCAAGACTGGATCCTGATGATGTGCTTTTAATTACATCCATTCCAAAGGTACCTCCTTTCCCAGTTAAAATAAAGACGACACGTGATGAAGCCTGGCTGCGTGTCTGTGGAGGGGGCGGCGAGCTCCGCGCGTGGGGCCGGGCTCCTCCCAGGCCTCCTGACAGTTCACACCACAGTGGCTGGCCTGGGTGCCTCTCCCTGCCAGCACCCCCAGCCCCTGCAGACCCCGACCCCCTCAGAGAGGGGGGCCCCGTGTCCCTCTGGCCGGCGACGGCCGGGCACCCCCCTCAGGTAGACGTGATGCCGCTCTTCTCGCCCTTGACCTTGAGGAACTCGGCCATGCTGGAGAAGTACTTCTGGCTGGCCTCCGCCACCTTCTTCTCTGCTGCCTGTGGGTTCACAATCTCCAGGCCCTGGGCAGGGGAGGGACACGGGGCGGGGTGGGGAGACAGCCTGGTCTCCTACAGCCTCCCAGTGAGGGAATCGTGGCCTGTCAGGGGCCCACGGCCCTTCCTGATGGGCCTGGGGTTCTGGGCAAGCATGTGGGGGGTGTGCCAGCCTCCAAGTCTCCCCCACCCTGGGAGATCCTCTGTGGTTCTGGGGGTGAGGGGAGCAGGGAGGACCTGGATCCCTGAATTTGTAACAAGTTCCCCAGGCGATTTTTAAAACACCATCTGAGAAAGGCTGATCCCATTCGGTTCCTGAATGAGGAAACCGAGTCCCAGAAGTAGGAGGTTTGCCTGCAGTCCCAGCACGAACCACACCAGCCCCAGCGAGGATTTAACAGCCAGCTCTGGGGGTCTAACGTGGCCGGCGTTGATCCAGATGTCTTACACCCAGAGATTCCCACCTCACTGAGGCTGCCCGGAAGCACCGTCTCCTTTGGTCCTCTCAGTCCCCAGCACCTCCCACCTCCCAACACATTGTGTATCTTACTTGTTTGACCCTAAGATAAACTCCAAAAGGGCAAAACTCCTGTGTGTGTCTGCCTATCTCAGCGCCGGTGACAGTGCCCCTGGACTTCAGCAGGCATTCCTCAGGGTGGGAGCAGCTGGGCCTGCTCGGGGCCACAGAGACTCAGCGGTCCCTGCGAACCTCGCCGTGTGCTGGGAACCCAGATACCACCTCGGGGGCTTCTTTGGAGCCCCCCCAAGCCCATGGCAGCCCCAAAGGGGGGCACAGGTAAGGAAGAAGCCCAGGATGGGGAACACGGCTCTCCCTGGGCCTCCTGCCTCCAGAGGGCCGGTACCTGGAGTGGAGTGAAGGCCACGCTGGAGGCGGTTCCCGACGAGCGGTCGCGGATGGTGGACTTCCCACCGTACACCACGCTCTGCTTCTGCAGGGTCCGCTACGGGGAGGGCAGGGCACTCAGGGCTGTGGCCTGCGTCTGCACGCCCAGGCCTGCCCCCATCCCCGGGGTTTGGCCCGTACCTGCAGTGTCTTGGATATTCTGGCTTTGGTGGCCTCGTTCACCTGTGTCTGCCGCACGCGCCCGCTGCCCGACTTGCCCAGGTGGCCCAGGCTGAAGCCCAGGTCCTCCTGGTAGGCGTCCTCCTCGATCTGGTGGGAGGGGAGACGTCCAGGTGTCAGTCAGCCCAGGGCTCCATCCCATCGGCAACCGCCCGGGCCCCGAGTGCAGTGAGCCTTGCTGGGGCCCCGGTGAGGAGCACGGTTCCTGTTACTACTGCTTGAGATGAGAGGGAATGTGTGTGTGTGTCTGTGCTGTGTGAAAAACCAAAATAGTTTTCACTGCGGACACGTGAGCTAGTTCTGGCAGGACCAGTGGGGTGATGCTCGGATAGCAAGGGCCTGGCAGGAGTGGGGTCTGGGAAGGCCTGGACAGCATGGCAGTGGGGGGAGGTGAGCCTGGGGGCCTGTGCTATCACGGAGATCCCTCTGGGGCTGGGACAGAGTGGAGGCCAGGGGACCAGGAAAGAGGCTGAGGTGCTGCCATGGCCACAGAAGGGGGGGGAGGGGCGCGAGGTAGCAGGGGTGTGACCTCTCCGAAGCTCATGCGGTTGGCCTGCTTCCGGATCTCTGTCAGCCCCAGCCGCTCCTTCATCTTGCGGTACCTGGGGCAGGGCAGGGGGTCAGCGGGAAAGGGGGAGCCTCGGCCCTTCCGCCCAGCTGGTCCCCCCCCCCGCCCCGCCAGTCCCCGGGCCCCACCTGCGGCCGCCTCGCTTCTTGCGCTGCCCATCAAGGGGCGCCGGCAGCGGCTTCACCTGCTTCACAGGCGGCGGCTCCTGCCACTTGTCGAACTTGCGCTCAATCTCATCCTTCAGCTCATAGCCCACCTAGGGAGGGCGGGCTGGGGTCTGGCAGCAGCTCCCACAGGCCTGGCCTGCCCCCCGCCCCAGCTCCCCTCTGGTCAGTAAGGGGGATGCCCTAGAGACCGCCGCACCCGAGAATCCCGCTGGGTTCTTCCTTCAGGAAGGACCCCAATCGGCCCCCGTCAGCTCCTTTGAGGAGCCCGGCTCTCCCCAAGGCGCACAGGCTTGACGGGACCCCTCCATCCCGCCCCCCGGGGCCCGCTGGGCTCTAGCCTGGGCCTGGCGCTGACGGTTCCGCTGCTTCAGACCCCGTTCCCCAGCATCCACGAGACTCACCTGCTCCGTGTGCACGTCCACGTTAAACCCTCGCCTCCTCAGAGCAGCCCTCCCCGCCTTCCAGGTTCTCCAGTGTAGGCTCCCTCAGCACCTCCACGCCCCCCTCCCTGCAGCCTCCACTCGGCACCCCGGACGCCCTGCACAGTGACCGGCGTGTGTCTCCCCATCACTGCCCACCCCCAGCCAGAGTGGAGAAGCCACGGGGGTAGGACTTTCATCTGGGCTGGTCGCTGCCATGCCCCGTGGTCAGAGAGCCCCAAAAGCTGTGCCAGGCTGGGTGCCTGGAAAACCATACTGCATGGGATGGACACATCTCCTCTCACGGAACAGGTCTGCCCAGGAAGACAGGCTGACGGAATAGATACCAGCACGGCGATGGTGCTGGCAGAGGAGACAGACCCGGTGCAGCAAAGAAGTTCCTCCCCCACCCCAAGGTGTCCAGAGAGAGACCCCGGTGCGGCAGAGAAGTACATCCCCCGCCCAAGGTGTCCAGAGAGAGACCCCCGTGCGGCGGAGAAGTACATCCCCCGCCCAAGGTGTCCAGAGAGAGACCCCCGTGCGGCGGAGAAGTACATCCCCCGCCCCAAGGTGTCCAGAGAGAGACCCCCGTGCGGCGGCGAAGTACATCCCCCGCCCCGAGGTGTCCAGAGAGAGACCCCCGTGCGGCGGCGAAGTACGTCCCCCGCCCCAAGGTGTCCAGAGAGAGACCCCGGTTCGGCAGAGAAGTACGTCCCCCGCCCCAAGGTGTCCAGAGAGAGACCCCGGTTCGGCAGAGAAGTACGTCCCCCGCCCCAAGGTGTCCAGAGAGAGACCCCGGTGCGGCAGAGAAGTACGTCCCTCGCCCCAAGGTGTCCAGAGGGACCCCGGTGCGGCGGAGGAGTACGTCCCCCACCCCAAGGTGTCCAGAGAGGGACCCCGGTGCGGCGGCGGAGTACGTCCCCCGCCCCAAGGTGTCCAGAGAGACCCGGTGCAGCAGAGACGTTCCCCCCACGACCCCAGGGTGCCAGCGGCCAACTGGTCCCTATGAGCTTGTCACCACCTGACAAGCGGGGCTCTGCAGGTGTGACTGGGCTGGGGATCTCGGAACGGGGAGTGAGAGCTTAGTGGTGTGTGTGGGCCCAGTGGGATCACCGGGTCTTAAAGGGTCAGAGGAGAAGTGCAGACAGAGGCAGAGCCAGGGAGAGCGTGCAGAGGCTGTGCTGGCTCTGAAGACGAGGCAGGGGCCCTGAGCAGGGGGCGCAGCGGCCCTGGCGAGCTGCAAACAGCGGGGAGCAGCCCTCCCCCAGCTCGAGCCTCTGAAGGAGCAAACTCAGGCAGCACCGCGGCTTCAGCTCGGGGAACCCCCGTGGGCTTCTGACCTACAGGACCCTAAGAGCGCAACCCCATGTCCCTTTAGGCCACTGCACTTGAGGCCATCGTCATGGCAGCGTGGGGGAGGGTGCGCCGCCCTGGGTGGGCCCCAACGACACCCCCGCCCCACCCTGTGAGTGCCCGTGCGGGGGGTCCTCTGATGGCGGCCCTCCTCGACAGGCCACAGACCACGCGGACACCACTGCCGCCCTCACCTTCCCCTCCGTGCTCTCATGGAAGCTGTCCACGCGGGCTGCCAGCGTGCACTTGGCGGCCACCAGCCGGGCTGCTTTCCGCCGCAGATCCTGGGGCAGGACAGGGAGGCGCGTCAAGTCAGAGCGAGGCAGCAGCGTCAGAGCCCTGGCTTCCCAGAACTGCCGCCTCACTGCCCTCTCTGCCGGCAGCCTCCACCTCCACTGCGGCTGCAGGCCTCCACTGACGCGCTACAGTAACCAGTGATCACCGCTGGTGTATTCTTCCGCCTCCTCTCCCGTCTGCAGATGAACCAGGTCCAGTTCGCCCACATACAAACGGGGATGCCGAGGCTCAGAGCTCGGGCTCTGTGCCCAGCTGGTAGGTGGCGCGGACGGAACTCCAAGCTCGCCTGTCGGCTCCTGCCTCCTCCGGCCCGCCCTCCAGCTCCCGACACCTGCCGCCAGCAGTGACTCCGGGGTCCGGGGGGCACTCACCGGGGGCAGGGACTGCACGATGTCGCTGTGGTAGATGTAGCCGGTGTGGGGCAGCACCGAGGTGGACGAGAAGCCCGACAGCGTCTTGCGCTGCGCCCCGAGCAACATGATGTTGCAGGCAGGCATCTTGGAGAGGTTGGTCAGGCCGCCGGCCACCCCTGCGGCGGGAGGGGGGTGGGTGTCAGTGGGGGTGGGGCGTGTCTGCCAAGCGCTGCACCTTCACAAGAGTTTCTGGCCGCAGTTCCAAGGGGGCGTCCGCCAGGGAGCATCAACGTGTCCCATCTCAGGGGGATTCAGAGGGGCTCCGAGGGGCGAAGCGATGTGCCAGAGGGTGCACAGTGAGCCACTGGTGAACCAGGAGCCCGACCCCGTGTCTGGGAAGCCACACGGGCCTGTCTGTGCTTCAGGGGGTGGTCACCGCACGGGGGCCCGGTATGAACCGCCTCTGGGTTCCGAGAGCATGTCTGCAGGTGCGGCCAACACCCACCCCCCAGTCTCCAGGGTGGAAACCAAGGCGCGTGACATGGTTTGCCCAAAGATGTGAGGTCAGAGGTGGTGGGGAGTGGGGGAAAAAGGAGTTCATCCTTCCCGCAACCCCACATACGCCTGCCTCATGGACTGAAGTGTCCCCCCCGACAAATTCACTGGCTTAAGTCCTAAGCCCCCAGCACCTCAGAGTCTGGAGACAGGGCCGTTACAGAGGTGAGCCAGGTGAGACGATGTCCCAGGCTGGACCCAACACGGGGCAGGCGCCCTGATGGGGGGAGGATCCGGGACACGGAGAACGCCCCCCAACTCACAGGGAAGGGACAGGCCTCCGCGAGGTCGCGTGGTGCAGGGCCGGGCCTCACCCATGATCTTGGCGGCGGTGGAAGCCCCGATGATGATGGAGAGGTTGGGGGCGATGAAGGACATCCGCGACTCCACGTACTCGTAGATGCGGTGCTTGGAGGCGTTGAGCTCCAGCGCCATGTCGCAGGCCTCCTCCAACCGCTCCAGCTCCTCCTCTGACAGCTGCTGCCTGCGGGGTGGGCGTGCGGCTGAGACAGACCGGAGGACCCTGACCTCCGGGGCTCCTAAGTGGTGAGGGGCCCCACCCGCCCCGCCAGGGTGCGTGCGTGCACATGCATCTTTGGGACGATTACGAGCCCCGCCAGCCCCGAGGCCTGGAGGCAGGGGCCACAGGGAAGCAGCGCGTGGCGGCACATCCCTGCCGGCCCGCCCCACGGCCTTGTCCTCCGCCCTCCCTTCTCTGCCTGGGGGAGGCAAGCTGGCCCAGGGCAGGCTGCAGCCGGGCTCCTTGCGGGTGTTTCCTCTTGCCGAAACGCCCCCCAGCTCCCCGGACCCTGCAAGTCTCGGCCTGGCCGACCAGCCAGGCTGTCGTCCAGCCGCTCCCCTAGGAGCACCGTCGCCAGCAGCCGCCGGCCCTGCCCCCTCGCGGCTGGTCTGGTCAGCCCTGTTGTGGGGCGGCGTGCCTCTGCCCTCCTCGCAGCCCTGCCACAGACGCTAAGGGGCGGGGCAGACCCCTCATGCCCTCCTGGAGGGATGGCACCCCAGAGGGGCGCCACTCCTAATTACAGGCCTGCGCTCCGCTGCACCCCCCGGGACCACAGGCCTGGGGGACCGTGAGCCCAGAGCCCGGCTCGCAGGAGGTGCTCGGCAGACACATGGAAGTGCAGCAACCGGCCCACTTGACACCGACACCCGTGCCGCGGGGCCCCGCAACCGTTGTCCGTCGGGTGGACGGCCGGGTACACACCCCTGGGTGGTGGAGGCGGTGACGCTGACGACCATGATGGTGGCGTTGGTCAGGATCTGCTGCAGGTTCTCGTTGTTCTTGCACTTGTCCAGGCTGTTGCCCAGCTCCTGGGGGAGGAGGGGGCGAGAGGGGGAGGCTCGGGGACTCAGGAGGCCCTAGAATCTCTCCTGCAGGGACAGTGGCCGCCCCGTCTGCCCCCAGTTCCCACAACCCTGCGGCTCAAAGCATCCACACTGTCTGCTCAGGGCGGGCCGACCCGGAAGCACACACAGTCCACCTGCGGAGGACGGGCTGCCCCCACAGGCCTGCTGCCGCGTCCACTCCCAGTGTAGGTCTGACCGCGTCTCCTCCCCACACCCATCTGCTCGACTTTCGGGGGAGCCTGGGTGCTGGGTGGTGTCCCGCCTTCACGTGCTTGACCCTCCCGTGGGGACCTTCCCCTCAGACCTGGACCCTCGGAGACCAGGTTGACCTGATGACCTCTTACACTCGCCTCCTCCCTCTCCCTGAACGCTCCAGGGCCTGTTGCCATCTCAGGGTCTTGGCTTCCCCCAATCTCTGTTCCCTGTTCCCATCCTGTCTCTGGCCCAGAGCTGAGTGACCCCCCAACTCAGACCCGGAGGGTCCAAGAGCAGGGCACTCTCAACAAGTGTGGTGGCTGGGGGCCCCTCCTCCGCGCTCACCTTGACCGTGCGGATATAATCCAGGGCGTTGGGGACCAGGGACTCCAGCTCGGGGAATCGCTTTGAGTACTTATCCCGGATGAACTTATGGATGATGTCTGGGGGCACAGGACGGGCAGGAGCCTGATGAGGGGCAGGCAGATGCCGCTGGCTCCCCCAGCACCCATCTGCCCTTCGTCCTGCAGTGAGGGAGCCCCTCATGGCAGCTGGCCTCACAGACACACAGCGCAAAGGCTGCCCTACTGCTGGGTGCAGCTGTGTGGATCAGTTCTGGTCCACAAGGCGTGAGTGCAAGTCACACGGGCAAACTCCAGGTCACTCTCTTACAGGAAAAAATGTGCCCTCCTCCTCTTGTCTCCCGATTTTTTTTGCTGATGGGGATGCGGAGGTGATGGCTGGAGGTGGGCAGTCACTTTGTACCATGAAACAAGTGGCAGATCAGTAAGACACAGAGAGCCTGGGCTCCTCCAGACTTTCCCATGAGAGGAAAATACACTTCCTTCTCATGTCACCACTCTGTTCAGTAGGTGAATTTACATCTGAACTAACACAGGGGCTTGGGGCAGGACCCTGGGAAAGGCCAGCGGGGAAGGCGGCCTGGGATCCTGCCCTCCAGTGGGGACGGGAGAGGCTGTGGGGGACAATGGGCAGGGCTGTCTCTGCTTGCCCTTCCCGGGACTCACTCAGCTCGTTCTCAATCTCCACTGTTAGGTTGTTGGCGTCCACGATGACCCGGTACTCAGGGGCCGCCTCCACCGGTCCCATCACTATGGGGATGAGAAACAACCTGGTGTGGGTACATGTCTAAGCACCCACCCCTTCCCGGGTCCCGCAGCTGGGCAAGGCAGGGGATGTGGCTAGAGCGGGGCACGGAGGGGCTGAAGAGGAAACTAGGGAACAGGTTTGCGTGTCTGCAAACCTCCCGTCTTTCCGTCCCGGCCAGTCTAGGTTTGACCTTATCTCTCCTGGAACTAAACCCTCATGCCCTGAGGACTAAAACCCGTGCTCCCCAGTGTGATGTCTGAGGGCTCCCCAAAGGCTGGAAGCTCCGGGGCTGGGGCAACCAGCGCTGTGTCTGTTTCCTAAGCTGCACCCTGGGGTGCCTGGCCCATGGTTCCCTGTCCCTGGTGCAGCTCTTCCTCGAGCCTTTTCCTGTTTCTTCACACCCTGATCACGATGGTGGCAACAGTACTGTCACGAGTGGAGGGGAGAAGGCACCTTCTGAAGCTTTGGCCTGCTTGCTGATGTACTCCTCAATCTTCATCATGATCTCGGCGAACTGTGTGGGGAGGAGAGGAGAGTCAGAAACCAGGTACCGCCAGGGAAAGGGGCCTGCTGCCCGCATCGGCCTGCCCGGGACATCCGCTCACCATCTTGCTGTCCCACAGCTTGGCGATGCTCTTGACCGAGTCCCCGGAAAGATCCAGCTGGGTCTCCTCCTGCACATCCTCGATGGCCGGCTCCTCCTCCTCCTCCCCGTAGCTTCCTCCCTCCTCCTCTTCTGCCGCCTCCTCGAGGTCGGCCAGGAGCTCGTCGGCCAGAGACATCCTGAGGCCTGTGGGGAGGGAGGGGCGCCTCACTACAGGGAGGGGGCTCCCCTGGCCAGAAGGCCCTGGTCCTTCTTGATCAACCCCACTGGCACACAGGTGCCGCAGGGACAAGGAATGTTCATTTGCTTTGCTCTCCGGCTCCTAACGGTGCCTGGCACATCACAGATGCTCAACAAACACCTGCTGAGTGTGAAGCTGCCTCCCAGAACCAGGTGGTCTCCAGTCACAGCTCACCCTTCCCACCCTCACCTCACGGGACAAGACACCACACACCCTCACACCAATGTCTCTAAGACTTCTTAGGAAAAGGTACACCCCGTCCTGTTAATGCGATATGACCTCTTCTTACATCCTCCTTTTCCTCCACCCATTGCAGAGGCCCCACCCCACCAATAGATATTCTGAAATCCTGCCCTCCTCAGATGTCAGGACAGCCAGGCAGGGCCTAAAATGTCTACAGCCTGAAGGCCAATCACCTCGCAGGTGGAGCAGCACCTCATCCACCCCAGGGTGCTGCACAGACTGTTTTTGTGAAGCCCACGCAAAGCACTATTCTACAAGGTACAATCCCCTCACTCTGTCCTCCCCAGTGCTTTTTCTTTTCTTTTGTTTTTTAATAAGAAACTGCTCCCTCGTCCTGTCCTTTTTCAGTGAGACACATGTATCACATACATGCTGCTGCTGCTGCTATATATAAAATAGGTCACCAGCAAAGACACGCTGCGTAGCACAGGAAACTTTACTGAGTATCTTCTAATAATCTACAAGGGAGAAGAGCGACTGACAGTCCAGTGGTTAAGACTCCGTGCTGACACTGCAGGGGGAGTGAGTGTGATCCCTGGTCAGGGAACAAAGACCCCACATGCCCTGCAGCTTGGCCAATAAAACAGAAACACAACACTGTCAATCAACTATACTCCAAAAAAAAAGATAAAGTTTGAAAAAAACTTTAGGGAATTTCCCAGCGGTCCAGTGGTTAGCACTTCATGTTAACAAAACGTCTAGTATACGGTAGGTATTCAACATATATTGGGCAAATGAAAGAATGAGTGACTAAAATCCTTATGCTAACCACGTCTGGTTTTCTTTCTCCAGTCTCTGAATATATTATTTTTTTCATTCCTAACGCAGGGACACAAACAATATTTCTTGCAGCGTGAATCTTCCCAGACTCCGAGACTGGATCCTATCCTGTTGCTACACAACTTGTGAACCAGTTTGTTTACTTCAACACTTGAAATTCTCTAAACTTCTAACATTTTGTTTGATGTCCACCTTCCCTATTAAGCTAAAAGTTCCATGAAAACAGGGACGTGTCCATTTTGTTCACTGCATCGCCCAGCTTAGCACCTGGCACGGAGTAGGTGCCACGACCTCGCTTGACACCAGCCCACCTTTCTAACCTCAGCCCCTGCCCCTATCCCCCATACCCCACGAGTCGTCACATTTCTTTCTCTTACCCACTTCTTTCCCTCGCTTTAGGTCTTCATACCCTCCCTTTTTTACCAGCCCAACACCTCCTTATCCTTCAGTTCTCGTCCTCTTCCAGCTCCAGAGTAGATAGCTTGCTTGGTAATACACACAGAACACGCCCTGTGTGTACCCTAAGGCGCGTCACACGTTACTTATTCAAGTAATGACTTGATTAAGCCTGTTTCCCCAGGCACCACCATGCAAAGCGCTGACACCCAGGAACGGTTTTCTTGCTCCCGCTACACCCCAGAGCTGTAACCCTGAAGGCGCTCTGAGACCCTTGGGTCGTCGGCCTACGAAGGCCCGGGAATCCGACCTCCAGCCCTTCCCTCATCTCCATCACGCTCACCTCTTCCCTCCTCACACCACGGTTTCTAGGAAGATAGCTTCCCAACAGCGGTCGACGCTCACTGATGACGTCTCACCCTCGCGCCTTCGTCGACGCAAAGCTGCTCTCTGATTGGCCCCCGCCCCAGTCTTTCCGGGAGCGTTTGGAACAACAACTTTATTAGCACCTAACGCTAGGCGGAAAAGGGGTGAGCGGGGAAAGGAGAGGCGCCTTATCCAGCTCGTGGCCAGCTGTGGACTGAGCCCGATAAACGGAGACTTGCCGCAGTCTCGCGACAGGGTGTCACGATAAGAATAAAGGGCATCTGGGACGAACGGTAGAGGCGTTCAACGAGAAAACAAGGCTTAGTGTAAGCCGGGAGTCGGGGTGGAGGTGGAGGGGTTACGGAGCGGAGCCGGAAATAGGAAACTACCGCTCCCAGAAGGCGTGGCGGCAGAGTCCTGGATGTTGGGGCCGCGTAGCCTGACGGAACGGGTAGTTTTGCGGACCACTTAACCTACGGAGATTGCCGAGGTTGGAAGTTCTGGGGCCTGGGGCTCCCCGAGCAGGAGAGATGGAACTGGAGCAGAGAGAGGGGTGAGTGATTTTGAGGAAAATTTCGAATCGCAAAAGACGTTGTAGCTGCATGATAGCAGTCTGCGCTGAGAACTGGCGCGGGGCTGCAGTTCCTGCGGTTGCTTTAGCTTAGGACTCCTCGGGGACTGGGGTCCGTACTCAAGCATCCTGAGGCAGAAGGCTGCGGGTTTAGACTCCTGGGTCTGAGGGTCGGGGGGGTCGGAGGCCGGGACTCCTGGGTCTGGGTGAGGGGTTGGGGCTTGAGCAGTCCGGTGAAGAGATGTGGATCCTGGGAGGGGGCGGGCTAGGGGCCTGGACTCCTGGATCCTGGGAGGGGGCGGGCTAGGGGCCTGGACTCCTGGATCCTGGGAGGGGGTGGGCTAGGGGCCTGGACTCCTGGATCCTGGGAGGGGGTGGGCTAGGGGCCTGGACTCCTGGATCCTGGGAGGGGGTGGGCTAGGGGCCTGGACTCCTGGATCCTGGGAGGGGGCGGGCTAGGGGCCTGGACTCCTTCCTAGACCTCAGCGAGGAGGGACTGGGAGCCGGGGCGTCGGGGTCCCTGAGCCCCACCCCGACCTCACAGGACTATGGCAGCCGTGGGCTTCGAGGAGTTCTCGGCGCCGCCAGGCTCGGAGTTGGCGCTGCCTCCGCTCTTCGGTGGTCACATCCTGGAGAGCGAGCTTGAGACCGAAGTGGAGTTTGTGTCCGGGGGTCTGGGCGGCTCCGGGCTCCGGGAGCGAGATGAAGAGGAAGAGGCAGCCCGGGGTCGTCGGCGGCGCCAGCGGGAACTAAATCGCAGGAAGTACCAGGCGCTGGGTCGGCGCTGCCGGGAGATCGAGCAGGTAGGTGAATGTGGATCCCCCCGTTTGGGGCTCCTCTGGCCTGAGTTAGTAATTCTTTCCAGTGTCTGCCTGTTTAGGAGCCCAGCCTTCCTTGCCCGGGTGAATGAACCTTCCGTCTATTCATTCATTCATTTATTTAGCACCTAGTGTGTGTCCGGGCACCCTGCAAGGCACCTTGGAGGGCTGTCTCCTCTAGGAGCTTCATTTGGCAACCCAAAGCAGCTCACTGCTGTCTCACAGGTGCCTCCGTGGCTCCCCATTGATCTGACATTTGCTCAGGTCCTGTCCATTCTGCCTCCCTTATCTCTCTCAGCTTCTCCTCCATCCCCACGGCCTTTGCCAAGACTCAGGTTCTTTCTGCTGAATCACTGCATTAGCCTCCTTGGTGAGAATGAGGATGGAGCAGGAAGCCGGGTCCAGATCTTGAAAGGCCACAAACACGACAGCAAGAAGTTTGGTTGTTTTGTTTTGTTTTGTTTTTGAGAGTGAAGGGAGCCATTAAAAGGTTTCAGATAGGGGAGGAACAGTGTCAGGTCCTGGCATTTGAAAGACTCTCTGTCTTTGGTTGGACTCATTTCCTAGGGCTGCTGTATCAAGAACCATAAACGGGTGGCTCAGTGACAGAAATGTACTGTCACAGGGTCTGGAGACTAGAAGTCTAGGCTCAAGGTGTCAGCAGCAATGGTTCACCCTGAGCACTGTGAGGGAGAATTTGATCTGTTCTGGGCACCCTCCCTGATTTCCAGTAGCTTGCTGGGGATCTTTTGTGTTCCTTGGCTTGCAATTCTTGGCTTTCAGCATCACATGGCATTCTTCCTGTGCTGGGTGTGTGTGTGTGTCCCCCATATTGGATTAGGACCCTCTGTATAATCGCCTCATTACTTAGCTTGATTACTTTGTGAAGAGCCTTTGTCCAGATAAGGTCCACATTCTGAGGTCCTGGGAATTAGGACTCCCACACACCATTTTTTGGACGCAAAGAGTCGGACACGACTTAGCGATTAAACAACAAAAATCCAGCCCATGACAGTGGTGTTGCGTGAGTTCCAGAAGAGGGGGGCAGCTAGTGTAGTGGCCCAGGCAGGAGAGGAGGCAGCCTGCACTCGGGTAGGAGCAGAGGAGAGGAAGAGGCAGGGATGACAGAGAACTAACAGGGCAGCGAGGTTTGAGCCAAGGCTTAGGGTAAGCAGGAGCGCGGCAAGATGGAGAAGTACGTTCGGGACTTCACATAGCACAGGGCTTGCTCAGGACTGGAGAGCCATTTGGTTTGACGGGGATGTTGGGGAGGGGATTTGAAGGCCAGGCTGAGGGCAGCAGGACCAGTGGCAGTGCTTGGAGCAGAGTCAGCTCTGGATATTAAATTATATACATTCCCCTAAAGTGCATACCCTGTGGCCAGCCGTCCCAGTCCTCCATAAATACCCAGCAGACACGCAAGACAAATGCGCCCCACCGACAGTTACCAGACGTTCCCAGAAGTACTCTTTGTAATATGGTTTTACGTCTGTGTATAGATAGGAAGTCGCTAATGTAAGTACGAGTGAGTGAGTGAAAGTCGCTCGGTTGTGTCTGACTCTTTGCAACCCCATGGACTATATGGTCCATGGAATTCTCTAGGCCAGAATACTGGAGTGGGCAGCCTTTCCCTTCTTCAGGGGATCTACCCAACCCAGGGGTCCAACCCAGGTCTCCCACACTGCAGGCGGATTCTTTACCAGCTGAGCCACCAGGGAAGCCCTAATACAAGTATACGTGATACCTAATATAAGTATACATAATAGATACAAACCAGATCCACTTATTTTTATTATGGTTGTTTAGTCGCTCAGTCGTGTCCAATTCTCTGTGACCCCATGGGCTGTAGCCCGTCAGGCTCCTCTGTCCATGGGATTCTCCAGGCAGAATACTGGAGTGGGTTGCCAGGCCCTCCTCCAGGGGATCTTCCCAGCCCGGGAATCGAACCCACATCTCCTGCATTGGCAGGCGGGTTCCTGACTGCTGGGCCACCTGGGAATATTTTTCACCCGGAGACTTCGGCTCCCCTCCAACCTTCAGCTCCCTTCAACCTCTCTTCCCTCCGCGACCACGCGTCTCTCTTTTCTCCCCCAGTGATTTCAAGGCTCCTCATGTCCTTCTGTTCACAGAGTCTTTCAGTGCAAGGTTGGCGCTGGCACAATGAGCACTCTCCCGAGAGCACCCACTCTATGCCAGGCTGGGAACTTTCAGCCACGGCCCCCTGCCCTCCCCCCAAGCAGCAGCAGGTATCCTGAGCCCTGTTTAACAGCTGGATGCTGGGTTCCAGAGATTCACCATTTGCTCAAACGGAGCTGCATTTGAGCCTCTGCTCTTAGCCCAACCCCAACCAGGAATAAGTTACATTATTATTCTTTGACCAGTGCAGAAACCTGAGGCTCAGAGAGGTTAAGGTCCTTACCCAAGGTCACACAGCTGAGAAGGGGGCAGGCTGGTATTCGAACCCAGGTCCTCTGACCCAGGAGCAGAACACACTTGTTCACACCTTGTCCACACATCTCCTGTGACGGCCCTACCTAAAGCAGCCACCTCCTGCCCTAATCTCTAGCCTGTCTCCCGGTCTGGGGTCCTTGAAGCACTCTATCACTCTGCAAATAAGTCCTCTGGTTGGCAGGGTTTAGGGAGCACCCCCTGCCAGGCTCTGCTCCAGGCCCTGCGGACAGGGGCACAGGTCTCAGTCCATTGGAGCTTCTGTCCTGGTGGAGACAATGAGGACGCCGAGTAGAGGCAGAGGCTAGAAGGCGGTGGAAAAGCAGAGCTGAGCAGAGCAGACGGGCAGGCGGGGCTCTGGCGTGGGAAGTGGGGGGGGCATGAGCAGGGAGCCTTTGATGCAGGTGTTTTTCTCTTTTTTTTGCCCACACCACGGGGCATGTGGGATCTTAGTTCCCTGACCAGGGATCAAACCTGTGCCCCCTGCTATGGAAGTGCAGAGTCTAACCTCTGGTCCTTCAGGGCGGTGCCTGAGCGCAGTCTGGAGGAAGTGAGCCACACAGGCACCTGGGGAGGAGCGCGCTGAATGCCCCCAGGCCCGGCCCGTGTCAGGGGACTCAAGTGTGAGCGCAGCGGACAAGGTAGCCGAACAGGAGAGACCTTGAGCAGGGGGAGCGGTACACACGCGGGCCCTGGAGGCCCTGGCCTGTCTCCCTGGTGCCCAGGGGGGCCCCACTCACTGCGTTGGATGCTCGGAGCCCAGCTGACCTGTGCTTTCTCCACCTCCCCGCAGGTGAACGAGCGGGTCCTGAACAGGCTCCACCAGGTGCAGAGAATAACTCGGAGACTCCAGCAGGAGCGGAGGTAACCCCCTCCGGCCCGCGTCACACGTCTCAGCCCTTGTCCCCGCCCTTGTCCCCCGCCATCTGGGGCCTGGGCAGCAAGCTGAGTCCCAGGCCTGGGGCGGCGGGTGTGCCCCTAGTGAATGGGGTGGGCGGAGTGCAGGAGACCAGCCCGAGGGTCACAGACCCAGCCTTGAGCCCTGCTCAGCTGGGTGCCTCCAGGCCAGCCACACCCCCTTTCTGAGCGCCAGGCTGCCATCAAGGCAGGGCAATGGATCACATTGGATCACAGGGCTGCTGAGGATCGAATGGGAGCCCTCAGGGCATGCACTCTTCAAATTTATTCACCTGAAGTCAAAAGACAGTGGCCCTTGTCACTCTCGTGCTTAGCGGTAACCAACCACCAAGTTGGATCATTAAGAAGTGAAATTAGAAATTCACTCGCTCGGTCACACGAGTCTCATTTCACATGCTTGGTACCACTTGGTTCCGATTTTCATCCCAACTAAATAAAAGTAACTGGAATTGACCATTTCTGCGCGTCAGTCATTCTCGCCATGTGCCAGGTACCCAAGGAGAGGACAGGTGGCCCGCGGCTTCCGTAGCGGACAGCCCCCAGTGCAGCTGGCACGTGCTGGGAGAAGGCGAGGTCGTGCGTGGAAGAGGCTCCGCCCAGGCACTGGCTCACGGGGACCATCTGATCAGAGCTCAGAAGAGACAGAAAACCAAAAATCTTTCGGGAGCAGGAAGAGAAGAGAAGGCAGGGTCATGAGCGAGGGTCTTGGGCCCGCCTCTCAGCTACCAGTGAAAGTGACAGTGTGCGTGTGACCAGTTAGTGAGCCGACACCCCACCGGGGCCTGTGGCGCCGTCGTGAGCCGCGGCCTGCAGGCCGCCCCGTCGTGGGGGTCACCCCGGGTTCCAGAGCAGGAGCTGAGGTGCAGGGGCCCCCGTCCTGCCCCGAGTCCACTGGCTGCTCAAGGGCTGGGCACCCGGGTGTCTCAGACCTTCAGAGTCAGAGCTGGGCCGCGGCCCTTCCCGCCCGCCGGTGGAAGGTAAAGCTGCCCCTGCCCCGGGCGGCTTCCCTGCAGGTTCCTCATGAGAGTGCTGGACTCCTACGGCGATGACTACCGCTCCAGCCAGTTCACCATCCTGCTGGAGGTGAGCTGGGGGCGCGGGCGGGGGCCCGGAGCCCAGGACACAGCCTTCACCTGCCCCCCTCCCATCTGCCAGGACGAGGGCAGCCAGGGCACAGATGCCCCCACCCCCGGCAATGCCGAGAACGAGCCTCCAGACAAAGAGGGGCTGTCCCCACCTAGGAGGACGCCCGTGCCCCCGGAGCCAGGCAGCCCGGCCCCTGGCGAGGGGCCCAGCGGGAGGAAGAGGCGGCGCGCACCCCGTGACGGCCGGCGAGTGGGGGCTGCGCTGACCCCGGAACTGGCCCCGGTGAGGGGGGTGGGTGGGAAGGGAGAGGGGCGCAGGGGAAGGGAGAGGGGTGCAGGGGAGAGGAAAGGAGAGGGGCTCAGGGGAAGGAAGAGGCGGGCAGAGGAGGGGAGAGGCGCAGGGGAAGGGAGAGGGGTGCAGCGGGAGGAAAGGAGAGGGGTGCAGGGGAGGGGAGAGGAGAGGGGCACAGGGGAAGGGAGGGGGTGCAGGGGAGAGGAGAGGGGTGCAGGGGAGGGGAGAGGAGAGGGGCACAGGGGAAGGGAGGGGGTGCAGGGGAGAGGAGAGGGGTGCAGGGGAGAGGAAAGGAGGGGCACAGGGGAAGAGGGGGTGCAGGGGAGAGGAGAGGGTGCAGGGGAGAGGAGAGGGGTGCAGGGGAGAGGAGGGGGCGCAGGGGAGAGGAGAGGGGTGCAGGGGAGGGGAGAGGGTGCAGGGGAGGGGAGAGGAGAGGGGCACAGGGGAAGGGAGGGGGTGCAGGGGAGGGGAGAGGAGGGGGCACAGGGGAAGGGAGGGGGTGCAGGGGAGAGGAAACGAGAGGGGTGCAGGGGAGAGGAAAGGAGAGGAGTGCAGGGGAAGGGAGGGGGCACAGGGGAGAGGAGGGGGTGCAGGGGAGGGGAGAGGGTGCACGGGAGGGGAGAGGAGAGGGGCGCAGGGGAACGGGGGAGTGGGGAGAGGCCAGGGAGAGAGGGCCTTGCAAGGCGGGGGAGAGGGGTGAGGCTGGCCTGGGAAGGAGAAAGAGCTCGAAAATGCCAGGCGGGGTGAAGAAGACCTGGAGGCGGCTCTGGGGAGAAGGGAAGATACCCTGGCGGGCAGCAGAGGAGGGAGGACTGGCAGGTGGGGGCAGCAGCTCTGGGGATCTCCGGTGGGGCCACTGGGCCAGGGCCGCCTCACGCCCCTCTCTGTCTCCCCCAGATCAAGGTCGAGGAAGACTTCGGCTTTGAAGCGGACGAGGCCCTCGACTCCAGCTGGGTTTCTCGGGGGCCAGACAAGCTGCTGCCCTACCCCACCCTAGCCAGCCCCCCCTTTGACTGACTCCCCCCAATAAACCAGCCCCCACTCTCGCCTTGGCCACTGTGCCCACCGCTGCCCACACACTCAGGCTCGGGGTGGTTTTCATGTATTTATTGGGGCCATCGGGGCGGGGGCCGCTCCCTGTCAACGGAGGCGCTCACAGTCTCTTCAGCCACTCCAGGCTCGGGCCCTGGGGGTCCTGGGGGTGGCTGGGCACATCAGACATGGTCCCGTCGTCTCGGAGGGGCACTGTGGACAGGAGGGGGCCGCTGAGACCAGCAGATCACCAGGGCCCCAGAGAAAGGCTGGCCTGTCAGCTTACATTCAGACAGAGAAACAGGACCCCAGGGGAGAGATGAGAAAGTAAGGGTCAGAGAAGACTTCCCTGGTGGCTCAGGGACAGAGAATCTGTCTGTAATGCAGGAGACAGGGTTTGATCCCTGGGTTGTGGAGATGCCCTGGAGGAGGAAATGGCAGCCCATTCCAGCATCCTTGCCTGGGAAATCCCATGGACAGAGGGGCCTGGCGGGCTATGGTCCGTGGAGTCACAAGAGTCGGACAAGACTTAGCGACTCAAGCACCACCACCAAGGGTCAGAGAGTCAGAGATGTAGGGAAGCAGGGAGATAGAGACCTAGAGACATGAAAACCCAGAATGATGGACACAGAAAGGAGCCCCAGGGAAAGACCCAACAGAGATGGGGAAGCAGGACAGGCCTGGAGAGGCGGAGACCCAAAAAGTCAACAGTTGGGAAAGCAACAGAGGCTGGGAACCCAGACAAGGACATAAATCTGAAACTACCACAGAAACTCACAAAGTGCAAAGATAGACAGGAGGGGCCTCCCCGGTGGCCCATGCGGCTAAGACTTGGTGCTCCCAAGACGGGGGGTCTGGGTGCAACCCCTGGTCAGGGAGCTAGCTCCCACGTGCCACAAATAAAGATCCCACATGCTGCAGTGAAGATGACGATCTCCAGTACTGCAGCTAAGACCCGCAGCAGCCAAATAAATTTAAAAGAAGAAGTGAACTTGGCATGTGGAGTCTGTCTACTGAAGGATGAGAGGACAGAGTCCAGACTGCACTGCAGAATCTTGGATCCCTGCGGACGAAGCGCCTACCAACGGTTCCCTCCCCCAGTACAGGGAGGCCTCACTCACCTGGGTAGTTGTACGGTGTGGCCCGGTTGATCATGAGCGAGTACTTGGTGTAGGGGCTGAGTGTGGGCACGATTACAGCTGTGGAGAGATAACAGGCGTGAGGCCCAGGGGAAGGAGGAGACCCCAGCAGACAGAAGCTGAGCTTTGACCAAACGGGGGTCAGTGTGTGGAGGGGAGGAGGGAGGGCATTCAGCACCTCCAGAACGCCCCTTGGCACCCTGGGAGCCCCATACATCAGAAGGGTTTATGACACTTTTCAGAGGTTGGTGAAAGCCAAGTACTCACAGACACGTGGGACCTGGAGGGCAAGGGAGGGAAGAAGGGTGGTCACGGAAGGAGTACATTTTCGTCCTGGAGCATATTGGGGGGTATGGGTCAGGGGGTGTCTTGGAAATGTTCCAGAGGCATCAGAACTTACAAACTGAGGGGGAGGGGGAGGTTCAAAGAACAATCATTGAGAAACCACAGTCCCTCTGGGGTGGGAGCTGGGAGTCACGGGGGAGGTGGGGCAGGGCGTATAAAGGAGTGTTCCAGGCCAGCACTGTCAGGAAGGTAACAACCACCAATGCAATTTACATGGACAGGGAGGCCTGGTGTGCTGCAGTCCATGGGGTCGCAAAGAGTCCGACACGACTGAGCGACTGAACTGAATAGCCACATTAAAATTAAAAGGCACAAATTAAAAAAATGAACCAGGTATATCCAAAATATTATTTCAATATATCAAGGTGGAAAAAAATGGGTATATACTTTTTGTTACAGTAAGTCTTTGAAATCCACCACATACTTTACATGAGCCTTACACCGCCCATCTCAGTTCACATGAGCCCCTTTCAAGAGCTCTGGGGCGGAAGTGGGCCGTGGCTGTAGAGCCGGACAACTGTGGTCCGGAACCTCACCCACTGTGGGGCGTGCCCACCAGCGCTACTGACAAGGCCTGGGAACTTAATGCAGCAGCCCGGATCGCTCCCAGCCCTACTGAATCAGAGGGAGAGCCCCACTCCCGCCCCTGAAAGTCTGAGCAGTCCAGTTCCAGGGCTGAGGTTCTCCATCAGGGAGGCACGTGAGAGTCACCGGAGAATTTTCACGAGATACCAGATTCCCGAGCTCCACCTCTCCGCCTTCTACCCCCCACCACCCCTCGCCCAACTCAATTCAGAATCTGGGGGGGGGGGGGCGGTGAGGGGCAACGGGTAGGAGATGACATTACTTTTCATTTATTATTTTTTTTTAAGGAGTTAAGTATTTATAATGGACAACCAGGATTGAGAACTTCTTTCAAGGGATTATAGAACTCTTGGGTGGGTGCATATGGGGTGAGGAGCGATGGGGTGGTGGAGGGGTCAGAATATTAGGGGTTGGGGTGTTGGATAACTAGCGGGGACACGGAATGTTGAGAGTGAGGGTCGGGGCTGGGGGTACAGGATGTAATGATGGTGGAAGAGACACGGAATGTTGAGGGCGAGGGTCGGGGCTGGGGGTACAGGCTGGAATGATGGGGGGACACGGGATGTTGAGGGCGAGGGTCGCGCCACAGGATGGAATGATGGGCGGGGAGCGATGGGACCTATACGGGATGGAAGGTAATGCTGGGACGCCGGTTGCGGGTGATGCACATCCGCACCAGGGACACTCACGCACCGAGGCCCGCAATGGCGAAGGATGCCACCAGCACAGGTTCCTTGGCCCAGACATTCTTGAGGAAGGATGCGACTCCTGCAAGGAGGTGTGAGGAGGATCAGCCTCGCAGGTGATGCCCCCGGTGACCTCTATCCCTCTTGCGTCAACACCGCCCTGGAGGAGACCCCTCGTAACCTCCGCACCCCCCTCCGGCCCGGCCCCCACTGGCTCCACGGGGGCTCCGCGTTGCCCTAACTCCTGCACCACCCGGGGTTCCTAGAACCAGCTTCACGCGCCGGCAGAACCCGAACTCACTCTCAGCCATCTTGGTCGCGGCGGCGGCGGCGAGGGCGCGGAGCACTCTGGGAGTTGTGGTCTCTGAGCACGGCCCGTCTGAGTCCGCGCTTGCGTACTGGCGCAGAACGGCTCTCCGAGGTGGTGGCGGCGCGGAGTACTCTGGGAGTTGTAGTCCAGCCCCTCGAGCTTCCACGGGCTGAGTCAGCGCGTGCGTAGTATTGCAGGACAGCGGTCGGTGCCGAAGGCTGTAGGAAAGAAGGTGGCGCTGTGGATTTAAACGCGAGCCTGTCGCGGCACACCTGCCGCGGTTCGCTTTTCTCAGAACGTCGTTGCGGAGGAGTAACTTCCAGTCCTCCTACTGCAGCCCAGCTAAAGCGGAGTGCACCAGTCCTCATTTATAGTTTACTTCTGAGAGCCCATTTTACAGATGGGCAAACGGAGTCTGCGAGAGGACAAATGATCAATCTATCAGTTGAGGTCTTCGCTCAAAACCAGTTCGTCCTGCAAACCCTAACTCTCATTCCTGAAGGGTTAGGGACCTTCTGTGGGTCTCACAGTGCCCCGTGTGATCTCCATCCTGAGAAAACGAAGTGAAAGTGTTAGTAGCTCAGTCATGTCCAAGTCTCTGCGACCCCATGGACTGTAGCCCGCCAGGCTCCTCTGTCCATGGAGTTCTCCAGGCAAGACTACTAGAGCGGGTTGCCATTCCCTTCTCCAGGGGAATCTTTCCTACCCAAGGATGGAACCCAGGTCTTCTGCATCGCAGGCAGATTCTTTGCCGCTGAGCCACCTGGGAAAACCCCCATTCTAGCGCGCATCTTTTCGTTTCGTTTTAACTAACCTGGTCGGGATGTGGCTTTCCTGATAGCAGTCTGGGAACTAGTGGAGCACAATAATGGGGTCTGGCTCTCCTCTGTCCCCCTCCACCCTCCGCCCCCCAACCGTGCAGCACAGGTTCTGATACATAATAGGCGCTAGCTTTTTTGTTTTGTTTTTAGCCTAGTGAACACAACAGTGATGCCCGCCCACTCTCCTGACTTTTCCCGAAGCACCATAAGGCCATGACACAATCACCCAGGGGCCCCCACCTCGCTCCTCCTCCCTTCCCTGAGCACAGCTCTGATTTTCTGAAGTTGCCTCACTTCCCGGTAGGTGACCGGGCCCGGCTGAGCCCCGGCTACTCTTCCCGCTCCAACCGAGAACTGCCCACTATGGCGGAGGCGCTGAGCCTGCAGCTGCTGACTCTCTGTGAGACACCCACCCCCTTCCCCCTGGGTCCCTGGCTGGGCTGGGGTCTCCCTGAGGGCAGGTGCGGGGTGATCAAGAGACCCTAGCTGAGGGTTCAGAGGGAATTCTAGGTTAAAATGACAGGACGGGGTCTCAGGTAAGAGGACAGGGGGATCCCAGATTCCTGGGCTCCTGGGAGAGGAGGAAGCTGGGGAGCAGGATGCTCTAGATCTTGAAGCAAGAGAGGGCTAGGGACCTGAATTCCTGGGAACCGGGACTGTCCAGTCCTAAATCTTGATGTAACAGAGAGATGGCAGCTGAGACACCTGGGTCCCTGGGAAAGGGGGAAACTGGGGACCCAGACCCCCATGCCCCGGAGAGGAGAACTGTGCGCTCAGATTATTGTCTCCTGAAAAGGGGGGAGTCCAAGCACCTGAATTCTTGGGTGTACAGGAAAGAGGGGCTTGGGTCTAGGCTTTGTTTTGTTTTTCTGGCTGTGTGGCATGGCTTGTGGGGTTTAGTTCCCCAAACCCGGGATCGAACCCCAGCCATTGGCACGGAGAGTGCCTAGCTGTACCCACTGCCCACTGGACCACCAGGGAATTGCCTCGGTCCAGGCTTTTGGTCTCTGAGATAAGTGGGCATTGGAAGTCTGAGTTTACGGCTGCTGAGAGAGGAGGAAGTTTGGGCAAGATTCCTATTTCTTGGAGGAAAGAGAGCCCAGGGACTTGGATTCCTGGGCGCGCAGTGAGGTAGGGCTGGGAGCAGGTGAAGGCTCTGACAAGACCAAGCCCCCCACCCCCACCCCCGACCCTCTATAGGGCTGGTGTGTCACGCAGACATCACTCCAGCTGGTGAGTAACCCCCCCATTCTCCCACGTGTTTCTGACATCCCATTTCCAGCTACTCAGCCTTTATTTTGGTGCCCACCCTCACCCCAGGTCTCCTTACTTCCCTCTCCTCTCTTCTCTCTTTCCCTCCTCCCTTCCTCACTCACTTTATTTGCTGTTTGCCGCGCTGGATCGTGGTTGCTGCGCGTGTGTTGTCTCTAGCTGTGGCCACAGGCGTCTCCCTGCGGTGGCTTCGCTTGTTGCCAAGCACAGGCTCTCAGTGCGCGGGTGTAGCAGTTGCAGCACACGGGCTTGGTTGCCCCGTGGCATGTGGGATCCTTCCAAACCAAGGGTCGAACCGGTGTCCCCTGCACTGGCAGGGGGATTCTTACCCACTGTGCCACCAGGCAAGTCCCTTATTCACTTTAGTGAGCAGTGCAGAGAAGTAGGGAAGGTCATGCACACTGGGGTGAAGGAGACCTAAACGGGAACCCCGGTTTCACCCTCATATTCATTTATGACTTTGAACAAACCACTGCATGCTAAGACTCAGTTTTCTCTGTAAAATGGGCTGTTGTGAGGATTTAACAAAATCACATGGCGAAGTGTGGGGCTGAGGAAATAGGGTCTCCGGCAAAGCCCATTATTATTCCCCCATTTGGAAAGTGTGGTTCTCCACCCTGAGATGACTCTGGGTTTCTTTCCAGGGTTTCTGATGAGGGAGATCTCGTCTTCCTCTTAATTTCCCCCCAACTACGCTCCAAATAAGAGTCGCCTAGAAAACCATTAATACCTTAGTTATCAATTTTTAAAGTTTTAAATGCTAAAGCTAACATATATTCATGGTTTTAAAAATTATCATCAGACTTCCCTGGTGTTCCAGTGGTTGAGACTCCATGCTTCCACTGCAGGGAGCATGGATGGGTTCGATCCCTGGTGGGGTAAGGTTCCCCATGCCACACAGCGAGGCCAAACCCCCCATTAATTACTATTAAAGGATGTATAGCAGCTGCTGTTGTCCCTTTCCTCATCTTCCTGATATAATTTCTGAATCCTTATAAAAAAATGTCCATGCATTCTAACACACACATGTATTTTTGTGCTTCTTCTTTTTTTTTTCCTCCCAAAGCAAAACTGGTATTTCCTGACTCATATGGTGTTCTACATCTTACATTTTTCACTCTGTAATTGCTCTCGGATACATTTCCATGTCCTTACAGATGGTTCTACTTTTTTTCTCTCTCTTTTTGAAAATTGCTATCTAGCATTTGCCATTGTAGGGATGGGTTCTAGTTTAGTTGGTTCTCCTGATGTATATTTAGGCTGCTTCCAGTCATCGCTGCAGTGTGCATTTCAGTGAACTTTTCATGTTCATGTAAGTGTATTTGTCTAGGGTGGACTTATTGAGTGGCTGGTCGTATCCTTTGTGTATCTTGATAGAAACTGACAAACTGCTGTCTCAAAAAGTGCGGTTGAATGCACCTAAGCACCTATTTTACTACATATTCTCCCAAACACAATGTTAACCATTATTTTATTTATTTATCTATTTTTGACAAACTGAGAGGCAAAAATGTCTTACTATTGTGTTAATTTTTTTTAAAGTAGTATTACTGTGGAGTGACTTTCACATTGTAACCCCCAGATGTGTCTTGGTCAATTGGACTTCTTCCTCTGTGAATTGCCTGTTCATATGTTTTGCCCGACTTTCAGTTGAATTGGCTCTAAGGTTTCTTTTGACACTTAAAAAAAAAAAATGTGGACCAGGTTTTTGAAGTCTTTATTGAATTTGTTACAATATTGCTTCTGTTTTATGGTTTGGGTTTTTTTGGCCACAGCCATGTGGGATTTAACTCCCCCATCAGTGATCGAACCCACCCCCCCACCCCCCCACCCTGCGTTGGAAGGCAAAGTCTTAATCACTGGTCCACCAGGAAAGTCCGTCCACACTCTTAATCTATATGATTTGTGAATAAGCCATTTCTGACAGTGCTGTCACTTGTCTTCTAGCTTTATTAACATGTCTTTCCTCATATACAGCTTTAAAAGGTTGAAATGGCCAAATTAATTAACCTTTTCCCTTCTGAACTTCTCATTTTACATTTTGAGACAGCCTTCTCAACCCCAAAGACAAATACATTTTCCTATATTTTCTTCTGATACTTTTATAGCTTAAAAAAAAAACACGTGTAATTCTTTACATTAATCTGGAATTTGCTTGGGGGAATGGTGTGAGGTAGGGACCCAACAATTTTTTCCCCCCAGATAGATGGCAAGTTTGGGCAACTGTTGAAATATGTCAAATATGTTACAAGTATTCTGAAGGGCAATTTGAGTTCGCAGGTTTCTGGGATCCAATCCCTTGAAGTAATATTTGAAACAGGAGGCGATGCTTCGCTCCTCTGACGTACAGCCAGTTTTGAAAGCCTTGGTTGGGGTCCAATGTCTCCCATTTTAGGACGGGGATCTGAGGCTGAGAAAGGGGCAGTGATTCTCAAGGAGCTTCTCCTCCTACTCCAGCTGTGCGCACGTCTCCTTGGGCTCCCGGGAAGTCCGAGCACCCAGGCAGCCACGTTTACTCAGGCTCCCCAGCCTCCAGCCCCAGGCCGTGGCTGGGCGCTCAGCCCGCTGCAGTTGTGACCCCCGGGGTCAATGTCACCTTGAGGTGCCAGGCACCCCAGCCCGCCTGGAGGTTTGCACTCTTCAGGTCTGCAGAGCTCACTGCTGTGATTCACCGGGATGTACCTGTGGAACTGGCGGAGTTCTTCCTGGAGGAGGTGACCCCAGCCCAGGGGGGCAGTTACCAATGCTGCTACTGGAGGCGAGGCTGGGGGCCAGATGTCTGGTCCCACCGCAGTGATGCCCTGGAACTGCTGGTGACAGGTGAGGTCCCAGGGGAGCAGGCTATGGAGAAGGGACACAGGCGGGATGGAGGGGCAAGGAGGGATCCGTCTATATATGGAGAGGAGCTTGCACAATGACACATACAAAAAGAGCTACATGGAGACAGAGAGAATTCTCAATCAGGGGTGATTATGCGCCTCCCCCCGCCCCCGCCCGTCCCCACCCCCCCCCCCACCCACCCCCACCCCCGGGTCTGGCACTATTTGGAGACATTTCTGCTTTTCCTGACAGGGGAAGGGTGTGCTATTGGCGTCACATGGGTTAGAGGCCAGAGATGTTCTAACACACCCTGTGTACAGGACAGTATAATCCCCCCCGACACCCACCCCCAAAGAATCATCCAGACTTATCCAAAAACGTCACTAATGGAAATGTCCCGTGGTCAGGTTTCCAAGCACTGACTGCCGAGGGTGCAGGTTCAATCCCTGGTCGGGGAACTAAGATCCCCCAAGAAGCTGAGAAACCCTGGGAGAGAGCCCCAGCCTCTGAGCCGTACGGGGGGGGCGAAACGTGCACGACGGGGGGGGGGGCGGTTAAAAGCAGAGCATTGTAGTGAGCACAGGGACCGTGGGAAGAAGTGGGGGGAGAGGGAGGCAGACACATAGGGGCTGGGGAGACAGGGCCACGGACACACGGGAGCTGAGGGAGACCGTGGAGAAGGCAGAGGTGTGCAGCCGCTGGCCCAGCCTGCAGGAGAGGGATGGGCCAGGAGACAGGGGCCCAGAGCCTGGGGTGGGGGAGTGCTGAAAAGGGGAGAGAGGGGGGAGGGGGAGGGAGGGGGAGGGGAGGGGGAGGGGAGGGGAGGGAGGAGGGGGAGGGGAGGGGGGGAGAGGGAGGAGAGAGGGGGAGGGGGAGGGAGGGGAGGGGAGGGAAGGGGGGAGGGGAGGGGGGGAGGGGGAGGAGAGGGGGACGGAGGGGGAGGGGGAGGGGAGGGGGGGAGGGGGAGGGGAGGGGAGGGGGGAGGGGAGGGGGGGGAGGAGAGGGGGGGGAGGGGGAGGGGGGAGGGGAGGAGAGGGGAGGGAGGGGAGGGGAGGGGAGGGAGGGGAGGCGGACCCCCCTACCCTCCCCCACCCTCCTCGTCCGGCAGACGAGCTGCCGCGCCCCCTCGCTGGTGGCGCTGCCCGCGCCGGTGGTGGCGCCCTGGGCCAACGTGAGCCTGCGCTGCGCCGGCCGCCTGCGGGGCATGAGCTTCGCGCTGTACCGCGCGGAGGGCGAGGCGGCCCCGCTGCCAGTACCCGGGGACTCGGAGCAGCCCTGGGCCGACTTCCCGCTGCTCGGCGCGCGCGCGCCCGGCACCTACACCTGCTACTACCCACACGCCCCTCCGCCCCCTACGTGCTGTCGGCGCGCAGCGAGCCGCTGGTGGGTCCGCGCCTGAGGGTTGAGCGCCGGCCCTCCGCCCCCAGACCCCGGGGTCAGGACCCCACACACCCCGCCCCCAGACCCGGGGGGTCAGGGACCCACACCCCCCGCCCCCCAGACCCGGGGTCCCAGACCCCACACCCCCCGCCCCCCCAGACCCGGGGGTCCAGACCCCACACCCCCCGCCCCCAGACGCCGGGGTCAGACCCCCACACCTCTGCCCCCCAGACCCCGGGGTCCAGGACCCCACACCTCCGCCCCCAGACCCGGGGTCCAGACCCCACACCCCCGCCCCCCAGACCCGGGGTCAGGACCCACACCCCCGCCCCCAGACCCGGGGTCCAGGGCCCCACACCCCCGCCCCCAGACCCCGGGGTCCACACCCCACACCCCCGCCCCCAGACCCGGGGTCCAGACCCCACACCCCCCGCCCCCAGACCCGGGGTCAGACCCCACACCTCTGCCCCCCAGACCCGGGGTCAGGACCCCACCCCCGCCCCCAGACCCGGGGTCCAGACCCCCACACCCCCCCGCCCCCAGACCCGCCGGGTCAGACCCCACACCTTCTGCCCCCAGACCCGGGGTCCAGACCCCACACCTCCGCCCCCAGACCCGGGGTCCAGACCCCACACCCCCGCCCCCAGACCCGGGGTCCAGACCCACACCCCCGCCCCCAGAACCCGGGGTCAGGACCCACACCCCCGCCCCCCCAGAACCCAGGGTCAGGACCCACACCTCCGCCCCCAGACCCGGGGTCCAGACCCCCACACCCCCGCCCCCAGACCCGGGGTCCAGACCCCACACCCCCGCCCCCAGACCCGGGGTCCAGACCCCACACCTCCGCCCCCAGACCCGGGATCCAGACCCCACACCCCCGCCCCCAGACCCGGGGTCCACAGCCCACACCCCCGCCCCCAGACCCGGGGTCCAGACCCCACACCTCCGCCCCCAGACCCGGGGTCAGACCCCACACCTCCGCCCCCAGACCCGGGATCCAGACCCCACACCCCCGCCCCCAGACCCGGGATCCAGACCCCACACCCCCGCCCCCAGACCCGGGGTCCACAGCCCACACCCCCCGCCCCCAGACCCGGGGTCCAGACCCCACACCCCCGCCCCCAGACCCGGGGTCCAGACCCCACACCCCCGCCCCCAGACCCGGGGTCCAGACCCCACACCCCCGCCCCCAGACCCGGGATCCAGACCCCACACCCCCGCCCCCAGACCCGGGGTCCACAGCCCACACCCCCGCCCCCAGACCCGGGGTCCAGACCCCACACCCCCGCCCCCAGACCCGGGGTCAGACCCCACACCCCCGCCCCCAGACCCGGGGTCCAGACCCCACACCCCCGCCCCCAGACCCGGGGTCCAGACCCCACACCCCCGCCCCCAGACCCGGGGTCAGACCCCACACCCCCGCCCCCAGACCCGGGGTCCAGACCCCACACCCCCGCCCCCAGACCCGGGGTCCAGACCCCACACCCCCGCCCCCAGACCCGGGGTCCAGACCCCACACCCCCGCCCCCAGACCCGGGGTCAGGACCCACACCCCCGCCCCCAGACCCGGGGTCAGGACCCACACCTCCTCCCTCAGGCCCAGGGTCGAAGCCCTGCTCCTATGCAGCCCCTTCAAGGGTGACACTGGAAGTTGCGTTCTCAGCTCCGCTCTGGAGGTTAGAGGCCTAGAGGACGTGCGGGGATGCAGGTCTGACGGGGACACTGACCGCCTCTCTCCCTTGCTGGCCCCGCAGGCTCGGGCGCCTTGGACTACACCCAGGGCAACATTCTCCGCCTGGCGCTGGCGGGCCTGGTCCTCATCTCGCTGGGTGCGCTGGTCGTTTTCGACTGGCACAGCCAGAATCGCGCCTCTGGCAACGTCTGGGCCTGAGCCCGGGCGGGCAGAGAAGACTTCCCAGAGAGGAAGGAGAAGACGCTGGGGTCCCATGGCTGGACCGGCCCTGCCAGCAGCCCCACAGCCCAGGTTCCCGAGTAATAATGACCTTGCACCGCGCCCTGGATCATCCTTCTGGGTCATATCTCCAGGACCTCCCAGATCAGTAGAAGGCACTGTCGGTGGTTAAGCCTTCCTAACCAGTAAGACCTGAGATCGAATCCCAGTGCCGCTACTAACTCCTTGTGGGATATTAGGAAAGCGACACTTCCCAGCCTCCGCAGCCCTGGCGGTAAAACGGAAGCTTTGGGAATACTTGATTAGGATTACGTGGACAGTGCTCAATAAATGTCAGCTCCTGTATAAGAGTGCTTCTCTCAGACTCACAGAACCAAATGAAATTCTAGTTGTGATCGTTGTTTTTCACTTGTTCATGCTCCAACTCACCTTTTATTTTTTTTATTATTAATATATATTTTTTTTATTTGGCTGCTATGGGTCTTGGTTGTGGCATGTGGGATCTAGTTCCCTGACCAGGGATCGAACCTGGGCCCCTGCATTGGGAGTGTGGAGTCTTAGCCAGGCCACCAGGGAAGTCCCTCCAGCTCACCTTTTTAAACAAGTCACCATCATTCTCTTCATGACATCACTCTTGGTGGCCAAGCAAACCTCTTCCAAAGTCCTGTGCAGATCTTCCCCAGAGGAAGACCAAGTTCAGACCCTGTGGAATTTCTTCTCCGATTACAGATTCATGGGCTCACAGCTACTTTCCCGAGCCCACCTTGTCAGTAAGAGGCAGGCTCTGTTGCCCAGCCAACAGCGAGTGAAGGTTGTGCAGTCGACCTTTGACCTGTACCCTAAACTCTCCCTTCTGGAAGCCCTGGCTACTCCCATAGTTTTCTCCTGAGTTTATTAATTTAATTCTCATTTTATCTGGCAATCTGATGCCTTTCTCGTGCTCATACACACATTTTCCGTTCCTAAGCAAGGCTTAACCACTCACTCGTGTGTTCTTGATTTATGCCTAATTTTGGTGGATCACATCCTCTTCTGTTTTTACTAAAATCTCAACTTCTCCTTTCTCTCTTCCTACTTTACGGAGGAGAAGATGACTTCCTTTTTTTTGTTTGTTTTTGATTTTGGACAGCCACAGCCCCACCACTCACTGGGTGGGTAGCTTTGAACAACCTACAGATCCTTCTGAGATTGCACCTGTGAAAGGAGAAACTAAAAACATCTCCCATGTCGATTCTAGAGAGAATTAAAGCAGGGGTCCCGACCCTGTGGGATCTCATGCCTGATGATCTGAGGTGGACCTGATGTAATAATAATAGAAATAAGCGCACAGTAAACGTAATGCACTTGAATCATCCTGCAACCGTCGTACCCTCCCCGGTCTGTGGAAAAACGATCTTCCACGAAATTGATCACTGGTGCCAAAAACATTGGGGACCGCCAAATTAAAGCAATACCTTGTCCCCAACACGTGAAGAATTGAAACAAAAGAGGACTGGATGGTCATTGCCCTGCCCCCATGTCCTCTGCCTGCTTTTTGTCTGTGGGAAATGTTAGTCAAAGACTAAGTTTAATCAGAGAAATGAGAACATGTGAAAACAAAGGAAAGCTGTCAAAAGGAGACCAAATAATAATAATAATGTCATTAAGCATAGTCGAGGACACTTAGTTCTTTCTGAAGGGCTGTGGATATTATTCTGAGCCATATCCTGTGAGCTGTCTTACAGATACTGAAACCCCAGGTGGAGAAGTTACCTACATGATGGCCAGACTCCACCCAGAACATGAGCTGCCACGTGGTCATGGCATGTGGTCAGCTGAGAACTGACCACGAAGAAGTGGGAACAAGTGGACCCTGGAACTGAAGATTCAATTCAGTTCAGCTAAGTCATGTCCGACTCTTTGAGACCCCATGAATCACAGCACACCAGGCCTCCCTGTCCATCACCAACTCCCAGAGTTTATTCAAACCCATGTCCATCGAGTCACTGATGCCATCCAGCCATCTCATCCTCTGTCGTCCCCTTCTTCTCCTGCCCCCAATCCCTCCCAGCATCAGGGTCTTTTCCAATGAGTCAACTCTTCGCATGAGGTGGCCAAAGTACTGGAGTTTCAGCTTCAGCATCAGTCCTTCCAATGAACACCCGGGACTGATCTCCTTTAGGATGGACTGGTTGGATCTCCTTGCAGTCCAAGGGACTCTCAAGAGTCTTCTCCAACACCATAGTTCAAAAGCATCAATTCTTTGGCGCCCAGCTTTCTTCACAGTCCAACTCACATCCATACATGACCAGGAACTGAAGATTAGCTGTACCTAAAACAACCAAGATGATGCTACTCAGACCACTGATGGCCAGTTTTAGAGATGACTGTGCTGTTTCTGCATGTAGCCCCCCCCCCCCCCGCCCCACCATCTGTCTATAAGAGCTATCAGCCCCTGCTTGTCAGCGGAGGGAGGTGGGGAGCTGGCTCTCCGCTCAGTTGCCGGCATCTGAAGGCAAACTTTCCTTTCCACCAACCTGGCCTGTTTATTGGCTTCTGAGTGGCGAGCAGCCGGATCCACAAACTCCTTCCAGTAACAGATGTTGGTGCCCAGCGTGGAGCTGGCTACAGCTGCCTCCTGGGCTTTCAGAGCGCCTGGCTCCTCTGGGCCTTCTAGGGGAGAGCTGTGGCCACAACAGCATGTCGACCTGCTGCTAAGTGGTTAGCTAGCCCCGAGTAGGAGATCTGGGGGATGTTCCCAGCAGCTGCCAAACCTTTTGCTTTGAGGATCCTCCCTGTTTCTCCCCTGTTCGGTACTGGCTGCCAACTCAACACTTTCCTTGATGGGATGAAAACTTGCATTTGGGACGAGCAGATGAGCTCCAAGACCTGATAAGCCCACCGGTGTGCACACAGCCAGCCTTCCCATTTGTGAGTGCTAGCGCTATTTGGTGGAGAAGGCAATGGCACCCCACCCCAGTACTCTTGCCTGGAGAATCCCAGGAGTGGCGGAGCCTGGTAGGCTGCAGTCCATGGGGTCGCTACGAGTCGGACACGACTGAGCGACTTCACTTTCACTTTTCACTTTCACACATTGGAGAAGGAAATGGCAACCCACTCCAGTGTTCTTCCCTGGAGAATCCCAGGGACAGAGGAGCCTGGTGGGCTGCCATCTGTGGGATCGCACAGAGTCAGACACGACTGAAGCGACAGCAGCAGCAGCAGCGCTATTTGGGCACTTTGCCAGTTGGTTCTGACCTGTGTCTGATGTTGATGATCATTTGTGAGCACTGACTGCTATTTGGGCACTTTTGCCCACTGGTTCTGACCCCTGTGTGCCGTTGCAGGCCGTTGGTGAGTGCTGAGTGTCATTTGGGCATTTTGACATCTACCATTGAGGGCCATTTCGGGGACGGGTTTGTTTGGGACTCTACGGGTCACCCTCGGAGAGAGTTCATGACTGATCTGTCATTTGGCGTGTGAGCGTGTATTCCATTTGGGTGACTGGTACTCTTGTTGCCTTATGTAAAATGGGAAATTCAGGTTCAATTCATTAAGAAAAATTTTAGCTGTAAAATTATGACCAAAGAATGATTTTTTTTTATGGCAGCAGTATTCTTCAGGCTCCAGAGAAGACTGGTTAAGATGAAACTCTTGAAATTCCAAAAAACCAGTTCTTTTTGCATATGCAGCTACAGAAATCTAGTTTGACAAAACTCTTTTATCAGACCCTGGGAAAACAAAAATGTGCCTAGGAGAAAATTTGAAGTTAATGGTTATCATGTCCTTGAAATATAAACACAGTCCACTTTGCCTGAATCTTCAGCCTTGGGTTAAGTATAAAACTTCAATTCAAGGAAAAAGAAAAGATTGAAGCCTTTGAAAACTGAGAATGTAAATTTTACTATTCTATTATCCATAAATTGGTAAGTTTAATTGCAATGCCTAATTCAATAAATGTAAAAAGATGAAGCAAAGAGATCTCTGTTTGTCTGGAGGTTTGTATGTCTCAACATGTGTTTTTTGCCATTAGATAACATTGCTGAGGTTTATTTGTAAAGGGGCTCTATTTAACTGGCCTTAAAAAATATAAGTGCTTACAAATCAAACAAATCTAAATTTACCTACTTCTGTCTTCTCATACGACCAAGAGGGAACCTAAAGATGTTTGGGTTTATTAAACATGCATGATGTACCATTAAAGAAAAATTATGCTGTGAAAAAATATATACTTTTAGAAGTGTGAAATATGTTCTTTAAGTTTGCAATCAGAAAGTGCTGGCATATCATTTCAATCACTTGGTTTTGTTAGGGTTTCAAGGGTTAAAAATTGTGCTGTGTAAAAATGATAAGGGAAACATTTCTATGTGCAAAACAAGTAGAACATGTGTTGTTAGTGAAGAGAAAGGATAAAGAACAGAGGCATTTTTGATGGGAAAAAAATTATAATTATTTTGTCCTACAGTTGTTTGTTTCTGGATGAGAAAATACAGAACAAAGTTGTTTGGATCCAGAAAATAATAAAAGATTTATGAAAAAGGAACTTTGAAAAAAGAATTTTGTATGTTGTCAGGATTAAGATTAGACTGAATTTAATTAGGTTTATGAATGTCATTATTAACAGTAAAATGATACAAGACTGAATTTATTTTGTTTTGTCTCTGTTAAGAAAGCAGAGTTCTCCTAGAATATTGATCTGATTTTGATAACAGAGACTGCTAATGGAAAGTAATTATTTTGTTTCTAATCCTACTTCTGACCCCAATGTTCAGGATAGAAAAATTGCCCAATAAAGTTGTCACAGAGTATTACTATTTATGTATGATGTGTAACACTGCTGGCTTTAAGTTGTCTGCTTAAAGCATATGTACAATGTTTGTGTGACCATTGTGTATAGATGATAAAATGAACAGCCTATAAAACATTTCCCTGTTAGCATACCTCGGAACCTGTTCATGATATCTGATGAAATTTCATGGACAGCTAGGCATTATATAAAC